CCGTAGAGATAGGTATCATGGAAACTTGTTGTATTTAGTTATTGCATGTTGCCATTCATGTCTATGTTTGAAAGCATCTTTGCTTTGGTGGTCATAGTTCTCTAACAAAATAACAACTTTCTTTTTTGTTTGTTTCTAACGGAAGTAAGATACGACCATAACAAAAGGGACCGTATTTCACTGAAACATTTATTAATTTACTTCGGGCGAAGACCAGTAAATAACGTATCGCGGTCCGGTTTGGGGCAAACGATTTCATGTTTGACTCTAACTGCCCAAATCGTTTCGACTCGCACACTAAGCTTGACGAATTTGCGGTTCTCGTCAAATCCGGGCTGGGAGGGGAGGGCCAAAAAGGGAGGATTGCGAGATATTCAGCCTTATACGTTCTGATTACGTGAAAATTAATGTTTTCTTGTTTGCGTGTCGCATCTAGGTTATACGACCAAGGTTATTCTCTCAAGTGATTTTGAGGTCATGTGATGTTTTACCATGCATTCTTAGCAAGCACCAGACTCAAGGGAGGGGCTTCATATAGATACGTGAGATCTGAAAGCCAGTAAATGGTACTGGGAATGGATCCCGTCAAAGCGGTGTTTGAAAGAGACCTGTGTGAGCGTGATATGGGTTGGAGCGGAATAAGTAAGGAGATGAGATTAGAGGGCGTGGATTGAATGGCTGCAAGCACATACGGTCGACGCAATTGGCAGATAAGACGAGCACGGTGGGAGGTAGGCAAGAGTGTGCATGGTCCAATTTGGCGAATCTGTTGTTCTTGTCGGGGTGCCAGGAACAGGAGTTGCGGAATATTCAGCCTACCTGGGCAGCCACAGGTGTGCCCATATACTTTTTGATTACAAAAAAAAAAATTTGTTTCCCTGCTTGATTGATGTAGCATCTAAGGATTTTATCTTGCGGGTTTTGAACTTCATGCAATCTTTGATCATGCATGATTAGCATCAGGCTTTAACGAGGTGCTTCATACAGATAAAAGAGCTACGGAAGCCCGTAGATGTCACTGGGAATGGAGCCGATTCTTGAGTCGACTCAAAAATCGACTCATTCAACGAGGTGCTTCATACAGATAAAACAGCTGAGGAAGCCCGTAGATGTCAGTGGGAATGGATCCCATCAAACCGCTGTATGAAAGAGACCTGCATGTGCACAGAAAAGGCGTGGCAGAAGAAGTGAGCAAATGAGAATCGATGGCATGGATTGAAGGACAACAAGCGCACAGGGTTTTCCCAAAGGGGGGATGAGACGAGCATGGTGGGAAGCAGGAGGAGCAAAAGGCAAACTTAAAGTAGCTGGTCGCACACTAACTCGGCTGTTTGTATAACCTAAACCAAACCAGTTCGGTCTGGGTATAACTTTTTTTCTGCAACAGTAGGTTTCAAGTTTTCGACTACACAAACAAACACTACTGAGTTTGGTGGGAACACATAGTTGTTTGACCCAAATCCATACATGCTCAGGTTTGAGTGACCATTCGTCATAGGTGCATTCAATTTCACACATCCCTTGCTTCCCATCTGAATCTGATTTTGCACAGCCCGTCCCTGGTCGAGATCGATTCCGCACAACCTTCTAACATAACATCCCTTGCTCACATCACCTTCCCCTCCCAATCCCCACTAAGCTTGAGCATGACAGCCAAACAATTGTTCAATTTGACCTTGTCTGCGACAAACACAAACGTGAAGACAGCGACCAAAACAACTACGTCCACAGGACATTTGAATCGAGCTCAAATGTTAGCTCGAACTTAGTTGGTTTTCCTTCCTAGAGCATACTCTACCTACCACCTGCAGTGTTTAGCGAACCTCTGCTGTAGTTAAACAGGGTTGCACATACACAAACTCCATATTTAACCAAGTCTAAGGATGCGGCGAAAGGCAGCTTAGCATAGTTTATGGAAGGTTTGAGCGGAAACCACAAGATTACCATTGTAGGGCCAGCCCACACTCAAGCTGTCGTCCGCTACTTCATTATTCAAACATCTCATAAATCTCGGTCTTGTTTGCGTCCCTTTGCAGCTGTTTCTCACGGGTTTGCCTAGAACATTAGCGGATAAGGTTTAGAAAACCTAGCATATGTCACCCCTGTTAAAAACTTAAGGGTTGGTATATTGAGAAATAAGAAGTACCTAGACATGGGCATGCTAGTGTGCAAGCCTAGTCATGCTCTACTCAACTGAAGTCGAGCCAAGATCAGCGGCTGAAAAATGCTTGGCTTGAAAGCGAGATTGACTCGCCACAAGCAGTTTGACTTTTGTCACAAGCTTACATGCTGCTGTATGCCTTGAATATTGGATGCACCCTAAGGGACGTAAAGCTGGGCTACACAATTCAGGGGGCAACAGATAGTTTTAAGAAGTCAATGGTTTTAAGAAGTCAAGTATTGGAACTGCGAATTCTTAGGGTCTCTCAGGACTCTGAGTTGACTTTTGAGTCGACTCAAAAGTCTCTCAAGGCTCTGTATAGCCCGGGCGTACATATGGAGTTGTCAATTTTATGACCGGTGAAATCACATACACGCTGGGTCGCAACGACAATTCACGAAGCAAGCTGGGGCAAGTCACGGGTCTGACCCGATTCTACTCAGCACATGATGTTTCGACTGAAGCTGAATCGACTCAACCAGACTCAACTCGACCTGGCGACTTGATAATCCTGCTTAAGCACGTTCTGCATTGCACCCATGCTCCTCCTTTCACCTCGGACACTACAAGCAGGCCCGGCCAGTAGCCTGGCAGCCTCACACTGCACCGAGTTCGCTATAGCAGAAGTCCTCAAGGCCACCAATGACTGGTCCCCTGACGACCAGCTGGGCTCGGGTGCCTTTGGCGATGTGTACAAGGGCGTGTCTCCCCGCGATGGCACCACCGTGTGGGCTGTGAAGCGCGCCAAGCTGATCGACGTGGGCTTTCAGAAGGAGGTCAGTGAGCCGTGGTGGCGCATACAAAGCCTTTTCTCACAAGCCTTTGCAGGCATGAAATTGCAAGCCAGTTCCTCAATTCGTCGAGCTTGTTCTGCTATTTGTTCGGAGCTCTCCTTTGCAATCTGTTTTTCTTTGCTACTCGCCCTTTCTCTCTTGGCTACTCTTAGATCCAGCAAATGGCCGACAAGAACCATCCCAACATTGTGAAGCTCCTTGGCTTTGCGATCGGAGGAGACTTGAGGACACAGCCAGAGCAAGTTCTCATCTATGAATACGTGCCCAACGGCGATCTCAACAAATGGATCGGTCTAAGTACGTATGCCTCTCCAATATTATTCCACACATGCTCTGCCTCTCATGCTGCGCCACTCATATGCTCTGGCACTCATTTTCTGTGCCACTCATTTGCTGTGTCAATTGTATCGTGGCGTGACCTTGACTCTAAAGCAGCTTGCCAGTCATGCGCTGTGCCACACATATGATGTGCCACGCATTCTTCAGATGTAGCCTGCCCTTGGCCACTCTTGATCTGCCACTCATCCTCTCCCACTCATCTGCTGTGCCAATTATCCTCTGGCACTTATTCCTTGCAGAAGCAGAACGCCCTCTAACTCTGAAGCAGCGGCTGGACATTTTCATCGGCATGGCACGGGGCTTTGAGTACACTCCACAGCTTTGGCATCGTGCATCGCGACATCAAGCCTGTCAACGTCCTCATCACCGACAGCATGCAGGCAAGCTTGGTTGGAGTGGATCTTTTTTGTGAGAGAATGTTTTTTTTGCTTAATCAAGGCATATTTGTGTTTTCTTTATAATATATTTTGGTCGTGCTACACATACAAGTCTGATGGATAGTGCCACAAGTGTCCAGTTTTATGCACCATTCCCTATCCCTCATGCTACAATGCCACTCATCTGCGTCACCAGGCAAAGATTGCAGACTTTGGGCTGGTGAGGATGGGGGAGGGCACAACCGTGGGCACAACGCGCATCATGGGCACACCGGGCTATGTGGATCCGGCCTACTCCCGCACGTCCAAGGCCACCGCTGCCAGCGATGTCTACAGGTGATCATTGCAAAGGCCTTATGTGAGGCAGTGGTGTGTACAGGTGAGGCAGTGGTGTCCACAGGTGAGGCAGTGGTGTCTACAGGTGATCATTGTAGGAGCCCTTGGTGAGGCAATAATGTGCATAATTGCAAAAGCCTGATGTGAAGCTTCGGTGTTTACACGTGAGGATTTGGTGTGTATAGGTGAAGCAGTGGTGTGTACAGGTGAGGCAGTGGTGTATACAGGTGAGGCAGTGGTGTCTACAGGTAATCATTGTAGGAGCCCTTGGTGAGGCAATAATGTGCACATGTAACCAGCGTCTACAGGTGAGCATTTTTTAGACATCTGAAAGAGCGTTGGCACGTCGCATGTCGTGGGCACACCAGGCTATGTGGATCCTGTTTATTCCATCACATCAGCCACACTGCAGCCAGTGATGTCTAAAGATAGGGCAGTGCATGAGGTCTACAGGTGTTAATCATTTAGACTTACCAGTGATGTCTACAGGTGGGCCAGTGAAGCAGGAGTTCTTTGAGAAGCATTGCTGGAGACCCTAGAAGCATTGCAGGAGACCCTTAGAAGCATTGCAGGAGACCCTAGAAGCATTGCAGAAGACCCTTACATCATTGCAAGGATCCTTGGATGCAATGCAGGAGCTGACACCCGATGAGACGAGTGCCAAATATTACGTGTGTGTAGTACATAATCTGGGTATGCTGCGGTGAACTGGCAAGACTCATCTAAAGTGCCTCTGCCTCTTCTTTTTCGTCTTCATCATGTTTCCGATCATCCTCTGCCTCGGAACGTTCTCTGCCTCTGAACCCTTCTTTTCAGCTTTGGAGTGCTCATGCTGGTGGTCCTCACAGGACAGGCACCACTCTTGGAGACTGATGGAGAGAGTCGCCAGATCACTCCGTGGGCAAGCACCTCATTGTCTAAGACCAGCGCCTACCCCTGGAATGTGGGACCATTGTCACGACAACAGAAAAAGAACACCCCTTCCGCTACCCAATGCTTGGTGTTTTCGTACCATGTCCGGTTTTTGCTAGTGGTCCTCACAGGGACGGCATACCATTTCGTGGGTATGCACCACCAACAGGCTTCGTCGCAAAGGCTCTGAAATCATTTTCACACCTTGTTGATGACCTGTCGTATCTTATCCCTTTCCAACACCCTCTACCCAATTCACTCCCTCAGGCATCTGAGTGCCTGTCCTCGGGGGACATGGGAAGCCTCAAAGACCCCACCATGGACGCCCCTGCAGATGCTGTGCTGCGTGTGGCTCAGCTCGCCCTCTCCTGCACCGTGGAGCGCACTGCAGCCCGCCCAAGCATGGCACATGTCGCCAACGAGCTGCAGGCCATCCGGGAGGAGTGGGTGGGGAAAGAGGAGCTCAGCGCGGCTGTCAAGGTGGATACGCAGGTGCAGGAGATGAAGGATGTTGTCGGCCTGAACAGCCTCGATACCAAACTTCAGATGATTGAAGACAACTTGGGTGAAAGTTACGATAAGTTATAGTTTTAACAAGTGGCACTTACACTGGTAGTCAAAGTTGCTTGCTTTCGTATGAATATACTGTACACGCCTAGTGGGTTACCCTTCAAAGAAGACACCAGGGTGCACTAGAGGGGGCGTTCTCTTCCGAATTGATAGCGTTTAGCTCAGTAATTGTAATGCTGAAGTTGAGAGACCCTATGAAAAAAAAAACGGGTGCATAATTAAACCCAGCCTTATAGTAATTGTAATAAGGGTAAATCACCCTTTTATCCTGAAATCTGCTCTCCAATCTTCATAATTTCCGTGTCGAGGCTTGCGACACCCGCGACAACATCTTTCATCTCCTGCACCTGCGCATCCACCTTGACAGCCGCACCCAACACCTCTTTCCCCCCCACCGCCTCCCGGATGGCCTGGAGCTCGTTGGCAACCTGCAGCATGCTTGGGCGGTCTGCAGTGCGCTCTCCAGTGCAGGCGAGGGCGATCTGAGCCACACGCAGCACAGCTTCAGCAGGGGCGTCCATGGTGGGGTCCATGAGGCTCCCCACGTCATTCGAGGATATGCACTCCGCTGCCTGAGGGAGTTGAGAAGATAGAGCGTGGGAGAGGTTGGAGGGTTCGGGGAGGGTGGAGGGTTTGGGGAAGGTGGAGGGTTTGGTGGGTGTGGAGGGAGTGTTGAAGGTGGAGGAGCTGGAGGGGTTGGGAGGGGTCACATATGGTATTCAAGAAGCTGGACGGATTTCCTTTGGGGAATATGCTATTTGAGTCTTTGAAAGTACCGGCAGGTGGTGCTCACCCACAGAGTGATCTAAGTTCCTGTGAGGACCACTAGTGTGAACTGGACGAGGAAATTTAGGAAATACCACAACCACACATTGGGTAGTGGAGGGAGGTGGTCCCTTACTGCTAGTGAGAGGATGATATCAATATGGTCCCATTGGACATGAAAAGAGCCAGACGGTTCACTTGATGAAATGCTTACCCATGGAATGGGGGTGGTCCCACGGAATGGGGTACTTACCCACGGGGTGGTTTCATGGGTCGAGGTAATTACATACGAGGTGGTCCCATGGGTTAGGTACTTACCCACGGAGTGATCTTCCAGCTCTCTCCAGCAGTTTCCGAGATTGGCTCTCGTCCCGTGAGGACCACCAACATGAGCACTCCAAAGCTGAAAAAAAAGCGGACATGTTCAAAGGCACAGAATGTTCAAAGGCACAGAATGTTCAAAGGCACAGAATGTTCAAAGGCACAGAATGTTCAAAGGCACAGAATGTTCAAAGGCACAGAATGTTCAAAGGCACAGAATGTTCAAAGGCACAGAATGTTCAAAGGCACAGAATGTTCAAAGGCACAGAATGTTCAAAGGCACAGAATGTTCAAAGGCACAGAATGTTCAAAGGCACAGAATGTTCAAAGGCACAGAATGTTCAAAGGCACAGAATGTTCAAAGGCACAGAATGTTCAAAGGCACAGAATGTTCAAAGGCACAGAATGTTCAAAGGCACAGAATGTTCAAAGGCACAGAATGTTCAAAGGCACAGAATGTTCAAAGGCACAGAATGTTCAAAGGCACAGAATGTTCAAAGGCACAGAATGTTCAAAGGCACAGAATGTTCAAAGGCACAGAATGTTCAAAGGCACAGAATGTTCAAAGGCACAGAATGTTCAAAGGCACAGAATGTTCAAAGGCACAGAATGTTCAAAGGCACAGAATGTTCAAAGGCACAGAATGTTCAAAGGCACAGAATGTTCAAAGGCACAGAATGTTCAAAGGCACAGAATGTTCAAAGGCACAGAATGTTCAAAGGCACAGAATGTTCAAAGGCACAGAATGTTCAAAGGCACAGAATGTTCAAAGGCACAGAATGTTCAAAGGCACAGAATGTTCAAAGGCACAGAATGTTCAAAGGCACAGAATGTTCAAAGGCACAGAATGTTCAAAGGCACAGAATGTTCAAAGGCACAGAATGTTCAAAGGCACAGAATGTTCAAAGGCACAGAATGTTCAAAGGCACAGAATGTTCAAAGGCACAGAATGTTCAAAGGCACAGAATGTTCAAAGGCACAGAATGTTCAAAGGCACAGAATGTTCAAAGGCACAGAATGTTCAAAGGCACAGAATGTTCAAAGGCACAGAATGTTCAAAGGCACAGAATGTTCAAAGGCACAGAATGTTCAAAGGCACAGAATGTTCAAAGGCACAGAATGTTCAAAGGCACAGAATGTTCAAAGGCACAGAATGTTCAAAGGCACAGAATGTTCAAAGGCACAGAATGTTCAAAGGCACAGAATGTTCAAAGGCACAGAATGTTCAAAGGCACAGAATGTTCAAAGGCACAGAATGTTCAAAGGCACAGAATGTTCAAAGGCACAGAATGTTCAAAGGCACAGAATGTTCAAAGGCACAGAATGTTCAAAGGCACAGAATGTTCAAAGGCACAGAATGTTCAAAGGCACAGAATGTTCAAAGGCACAGAATGTTCAAAGGCACAGAATGTTCAAAGGCACAGAATGTTCAAAGGCACAGAATGTTCAAAGGCACAGAATGTTCAAAGGCACAGAATGTTCAAAGGCACAGAATGTTCAAAGGCACAGAATGTTCAAAGGCACAGAATGTTCAAAGGCACAGAATGTTCAAAGGCACAGAATGTTCAAAGGCACAGAATGTTCAAAGGCACAGAATGTCAAAGGCACAGAATGTTCAAAGGCACAGAATGTTCAAAGGCACAGAATGTTCAAAGGCACAGAATGTCAAAGGCACAGAATGTTCAAAGGCACAGAATGTTCAAAGGCACAGAATGTTCAAAGGCACAGAATGTTCAAAGGCACAGAATGTTCAAAGGCACAGAATGTTCAAAGGCACAGAATGTTCAAAGGCACAGAATGTTCAAAGGCACAGAATGTTCAAAGGCACAGAATGTTCAAAGGCACAGAATGTTCAAAGGCACAGAATGTTCAAAGGCACAGAATGTTCAAAGGCACAGAATGTTCAAAGGCACAGAATGTTCAAAGGCACAGAATGTTCAAAGGCACAGAATGTTCAAAGGCCACAGAATGTTCAAAGGCACAGAATGTTCAAAGGCACAGAATGTTCAAAGGCACAGAATGTTCAAAGGCACAGAATGTTCAAAGGCACAGAATGTTCAAAGGCACAGAATGTTCAAAGGCACAGAAGAGGTTCAAGGCACAGAATGTTCAAAGGCACAGAATGTCAAAGGCACAGAAGTTCAAAGGCACAGAATGTTCAAAGGCACAGAATGTTCAAAGGCACAGAATGTTCAAAGGCACAGAATGTTCAAAGGCACAGAATGTTCAAAGGCACAGAATGTTCAAAGGCACAGAATGTTCAAAGGCACAGAATGTTCAAAGGCACAGAATGTTCAAAGGCACAGAATGTTCAAAGGCACAGAATGTTCACAGAGGCACAGAATGTTCAAAGGCACAGAATGTTCAAAGGCACAGAATGTTCAAAGGCACAGAATGTTCAAAGGCATCAGAATGTTCAAAGGCACAGAATGTTCAAAGGCACAGAATGTTCAACAGCACAGAATGTTCAAAGGCACAGAATGTTCAAAGGCACAGAATGTTCAAAGGCACAGAATGTTCAAAGGCACAGAATGTTCAAAGTCACAGAATGTTTCAAAGGCACAGAATGTTCAAAGGCACAGAATGTTCAAAGGCACAGAATGTTCAAAGGCACAGAATGTTCAAAGGCACAGAATGTTCAAAGGCACAGAATGTTCAAAGGCACAGAATGTTCAAAGGCACAGAATGTTCAAAGGCACAGAATGTTCAAAGGCACAGAATGTTCAAAGGCACAGAATGTTCAAAGGCACAGAATGTTCAAAGGCACAGAATGTTCAAAGGCACAGAATGTTCAAAGGCACAGAATGTTCAAAGGCACAGAATGTTCAAAGGCACAGAATGTTCAAAGGCACAGAATGTTCAAAGGCACAGAATGTTCAAAGGCACAGAATGTTCAAAGGCACAGAATGTTCAAAGGCACAGAATGTTCAAAGGCACAGAATGTTCAAAGGCACAGAATGTTCAAAGGCACAGAATGTTCAAAGGCACAGAATGTTCAAAGGCACAGAATGTTCAAAGGCACAGAATGTTCAAAGGCACAGAATGTTCAAAGGCACAGAATGTTCAAAGGCACAGAATGTTCAAAGGCACAGAATGTTCAAAGGCACAGAATGTTCAAAGGCACAGAATGTTCAAAGGCACAGAATGTTCAAAGGCACAGAATGTTCAAAGGCACAGAATGTTCAAAGGCACAGAATGTTCAAAGGCACAGAATGTTCAAAGGCACAGAATGTTCAAAGGCACAGAATGTTCAAAGGCACAGAATGTTCAAAGGCACAGAATGTTCAAAGGCACAGAATGTTCAAAGGCACAGAATGTTCAAAGGCACAGAATGTTCAAAGGCACAGAATGTTCAAAGGCACAGAATGTTCAAAGGCACAGAATGTTCAAAGGCACAGAATGTTCAAAGGCACAGAATGTTCAAAGGCACAGAATGTTCAAAGGCACAGAATGTTCAAAGGCACAGAATGTTCAAAGGCACAGAATGTTCAAGGCACAGATGTTCAAAGGCACAGAATGTTCAAAGGCACAGAATGTTCAAAGGCACAGAATGTTCAAAGGCACAGAATGTTCAAAGGCACAGAATGTTCAAAGGCACAGAATGTTCAAAGGCACAGAATGTTCAAAGGCACAGAATGTTCAAAGGCACAGAATGTTCAAAGGCACAGAATGTTCAAAGGCACAGAATGTTCAAAGGCACAGAATGTTCAAAGGCACAGAATGTTCAAAGGCACAGAATGTTCAAAGGCACAGAATGTTCAAAGGCACAGAATGTTCAAAGGCACAGAATGTTCAAAGGCACAGAATGTTCAAAAGGCACAGAATGTTCAAGGGCACAGAATGTTCAAAGGCACAGAATGTTCAAAGGCACAGAATGTTCAAAGGCACAGAATGTTCAAAGGCACAGAATGTTCAAAGGCACAGAATGTTCAAAGGCACAGAATGTTCAAAGGCACAGAATGTTCAAAGGCACAGAATGTTCAAAGGCACAGAATGTTCAAAGGCACAGAATGTTCAAAGGCACAGAATGTTCAAAGGCACAGAATGTTCAAAGGCACAGAATGTTCAAAGGCACAGAATGTTCAAAGGCACAGAATGTTCAAAGGCACAGAATGTTCAAAGGCACAGATGTTCAAAGGCACAGAATGTTCAAAGGCACAGAATGTTCAAAGGCACAGAATGTTCAAAGGCACAGAATGTTCAAAGGCACAGAATGTTCAAAGGCACAGAATGTTCAAAGGCACAGAATGTTCAAAGGCACAGAATGTTCAAAGGCACAGAATGTTTCAAAGGCACAGAATGTTCAAAGGCACAGAATGTTCAAAGGCACAGAATGTTCAAAGGCACAGAATGTTCAAAGGCACAGAACTGTTCAAAGGCACAGAATGTTCAAGGCACAGAATGTTCAAAGGCACAGAATGTTCAAAGGCACAGAATGTTCAAAAGGCACAGAATGTTCAAAGGCACAGAATGTTCAAAGGCACAGAATGTTCAAAGCACAGAATGTTCAAAGGCACAGAATGTTCAAAGGCACAGAATGTTCAAAGGCACAGAATGTTCAAAGGCACAGAATGTTCAAAGGCACAGAATGTTTCAAAGGCACAGAATGTTCAAAGGCACAGAATGTTCAAAGGCACAGAATGTTCAAAGGCACAGAATGTTCAAATGCACAGAATGTTCAAAGGCACAGAATGTTCAAAGGCACAGAATGTTCAAAGGCACAGAATGTTCAAAGGCACAGAATGTTCAAAGGCACAGAATGTTCAAAGGCACAGAATGTTCAAAGGCACAGAATGTTCAAAGGCACAGAATGTTCAAAGGCACAGAATGTTCAAAGGCACAGAATGTTCAAAGGCACAGAATGTCAAAGGCACAGAATGTTCAAGGCACAGAATGTTCAAAGGCACAGAATGTTCAAGGCACAGAATGTTCAAAGGCACAGAATGTTCAAAGGCACAGAATGTTCAAAGGCACAGAATGTTCAAAGGCACAGAATGTTCAAAGGCACAGAATGTTCAAAGGCACAGGAATGTTCAAAGGCACAGAATGTTCAAAGGCACAGAATGTTCAAAGGCACAGAATGTTCAAAGGCACAGAATGTTCAAAGGCACAGAATGTTCAAAGGCACAGAATGTTCAAAGGCACAGAATGTTCAAGGCACAGAATGTTCAAAGGCACAGAATGTTCAAAGGCACAGAATGTTCAAAGGCACAGAATGTTCAAAGGCACAGAATGTTCAAAGGCACAGAATGTTCAAAGGCACAGAATGTTCAAAGGCACAGAATGTTCAAAGGCACAGAATGTTCAAGGCACAGAATGTTCAAAGGCACAGAATGTTCAAAGGCACAGAATGTTCAAGGCACAGAATGTTCAAAGGCACAGAATGTTCAAAGGCACAGAATGTTCAAAGGCACAGAATGTTCAAAGGCACAGAATGTTCAAGGCACAGAATGTTCAAAGGCACAGAATGTTCAAAGGCACAGAATGTTCAAAGGCACAGAATGTTCAAAGGCACAGAATGTTCAAAGGCACAGAATGTTCAAAGGCACAGAATGTTCAAAGGCACAGAATGTTCAAAGGCACAGAATGTTCAAAGGCACAGAATGTTCAAAGGCACAGAATGTTCAAAGGCACAGAATGTTCAAAGGCACAGAATGTTCAAAGGCACAGAATGTTCAAAGGCACAGAATGTTCAAAGGCACAGAATGTTCAAGGCACAGAATGTTCAAAGGCACAGAATGTTCAAAGGCACAGAATGTTCAAAGGCACAGAATGTTCAAAGGCACAGAATGTTCAAAGGCACAGAATGTTCAAAGGCACAGAATGTTCAAAGGCACAGAATGTTCAAAGGCACAGAATGTTCAAAGGCACAGAATGTTCAAAGGCACAGAATGTTCAAAGGCACAGAATGTTCAAAGGCACAGAATGTTCAAAGGCACAGAATGTTCAAAGGCACAGAATGTTCAAAGGCACAGAATGTTCAAAGGCACAGATGTTCAAAGGCACAGAATGTTCAAAGGCACAGAATGTTCAAAGGCACAGAATGTTCAAAGGCACAGAATGTTCAAAGGCACAGAATGTTCAAAGGCACAGAATGTTCAAGGCACAGAATGTTCAAAGGCACAGAATGTTCAAAGGCACAGAATGTTCAAGGGCACAGAATGTTCAAAGGCACAGAATGTTCAAAGGCACAGAATGTTCAAAGGCACAGAATGTTCAAAGGCACAGAATGTTCAAAGGCACAGAATGTTCAAAGGCACAGAATGTTCAAAGGCACAGAATGTTCAAAGGCACAGAATGTTCAAAGGCACAGAATGTTCAGGCACAGAATGTTCAAAGGCACAGAATGTTCAAAGGCACAGAATGTTCAAGGGCACAGATTCAAAGGCACAGAATGTTCAAAGGCACAGAATGTTCAAAGGCACAGAATGTTCAAAGGCACAGAATGTTCAAAGGCACAGAATGTTCAAAGGCACAGAATGTTCAAAGGCACAGAATGTTCAGGGCACAGAATGTTCAAAGGCACAGAATGTTCAAAGGCACAGAATGTTCAAAGGCACAGAATGTTCAAAGGCACAGAATGTTCAAAGGCACAGAATGTTCAAAGGCACAGAATGTTCAAAGGCACAGAATGTTCAAAGGCACAGAATGTTCAAAGGCACAGAATGTTCAAAGGCACAGAATGTTCAAAGGCACAGAATGTTCAAAGGCACAGAATGTTCAAAGGCACAGAATGTTCAAAGGCACAGAATGTTCAAAGGCACAGAATGTTCAAAGGCACAGAATGTTCAAGGCACAGAATGTTTCAAAGGCACAGAATGTTCAAAGGCACAGAATGTTCAAAGGCACAGAATGTTCAAAGGCACAGAATGTTCAAAGGCACAGAATGTTCAAAGGCACAGAATGTTCAAAGGCACAGAATGTTCAAAGGCACAGAATGTTCAAAGGCACAGAATGTTCAAAGGCACAGAATGTTCAAAGGCACAGAATGTTCAAAGGCACAGAATGTTCAAAGGCACAGAATGTTCAAAGGCACAGAATGTTCAAAGGCACAGAATGTTCAAAGGCACAGAATGTTCAAAGGCACAGAATGTTCAAAGGCACAGAATGTTCAAAGGCACAGAATGTTCAAAGGCACAGAATGTTCAAAGGCACAGAATGTTCAAAGGCACAGAATGTTCAAAGGCACAGAATGTTCAAAGGCACAGAATGTTCAAAGGCACAGAATGTTCAAAGGCACAGAATGTTCAAAGGCACAGAATGTTCAAAGGCACAGAATGTTCAAAGGCACAGAATGTTCAAAGGCACAGAATGTTCAAAGGCACAGAATGTTCAAAGGCACAGAATGTTCAAAGGCACAGAATGTTCAAAGGCACAGAATGTTCAAAGGCACAGAATGTTCAAAGGCACAGAATGTTCAAAGGCACAGAATGTTCAAAGGCACAGAATGTTCAAAGGCACAGAATGTTCAAAGGCACAGAATGTTCAAAGGCACAGAATGTTCAAAGGCACAGAATGTTCAAAGGCACAGAATGTTCAAAGGCACAGAATGTTCAAAGGCACAGAATGTTCAAGGCACAGAATGTTCAAAGGCACAGAATGTTCAAAGGCACAGAATGTTCAAAGGCACAGAATGTTCAAAGGCACAGAATGTTCAAAGGCACAGAATGTTCAAAGGCACAGAATGTTCAAAGGCACAGAATGTTCAAAGGCACAGAATGTTCAAAGGCACAGAATGTTCAAAGGCACAGAATGTTCAAAGGCACAGAATGTTCAAAGGCACAGAATGTTCAAAGGCACAGAATGTTCAAGGCACAGAATGTTCAAAGGCACAGAATGTTCAAAGGCACAGAATGTTCAAGCACAGAATGTTCAAAGGCACAGAATGTTCAAAGGCACAGAATGTTCAAAGGCACAGAATGTTCAAGGCACAGAATGTTCAAAGGCACAGAATGTTCAAAGGCACAGAATGTTCAAAGGCACAGAATGTTCAAAGGCACAGAATGTTCAAAGGCACAGAATGTTCAAAGGCACAGAATGTTCAAAGGCACAGAATGTTCAAGGGCACAGAATGTTCAAGGCACAGAATGTTCAAAGGCACAGAATGTTCAAAGGCACAGAATGTTCAAAGGCACAGAATGTTCAAAGGCACAGAATGTTCAAAGGCACAGAATGTTCAAAGGCACAGAATGTTCAAGGCACAGAATGTTCAAAGGCACAGAATGTTCAAAGGCACAGAATGTTCAAGGCACAGAATGTTCAAAGGCACAGAATGTTCAAAGGCACAGAATGTTCAAGGCACAGATTTCAAGGCACAGAATGTTCAAGGCACAGAATGTTCAAAGGCACAGAATGTTCAAAGGCACAGAATGTTCAAGGCACAGAATGTTCAAAGGCACAGAATGTTCAAAGGCACAGAATGTTCAAAGGCACAGAATGTTCAAAGGCACAGAATGTTCAAAGGCACAGAATGTTCAAAGGCACAGAATGTTCAAAGGCACAGAATGTTCAAGGCACAGAATGTTCAAAGGCACAGAATGTTCAAAGGCACAGAATGTTCAAAGGCACAGAATGTTCAAAGGCACAGAATGTTCAAAGGCACAGAATGTTCAAAGGCACAGAATGTTCAAAGGCACAGAATGTTCAAAGGCACAGAATGTTCAAAGGCACAGAATGTTCAAAGGCACAGAATGTTCAAAGGCACAGAATGTTCAAAGGCACAGAATGTTCAAAGGCACAGAATGTTCAAAGGCACAGAATGTTCAAAGGCACAGAATGTTCAAGGCACAGAATGTTCAAAGGCACAGAATGTTCAAAGGCACAGAATGTTCAAAGGCACAGAATGTTCAAAGGCACAGAATGTTCAAAGGCACAGAATGTTCAAAGGCACAGAATGTTCAAAGGCACAGAATGTTCAAAGGCACAGAATGTTCAAAGGCACAGAATGTTCAAAGGCACAGAATGTTCAAAGGCACAGAATGTTCAAGGCACAGAATGTTCAAAGGCACAGAATGTTCAAAGGCACAGAATGTTCAAAGGCACAGAATGTTCAAAGGCACAGAATGTTCAAAGGCACAGAATGTTCAAAGGCACAGAATGTTCAAAGGCACAGAATGTTCAAAGGCACAGAATGTTCAAAGGCACAGAATGTTCAAAGGCACAGAATGTTCAAAGGCACAGAATGTTCAAAGGCACAGAATGTTCAAAGGCACAGAATGTTCAAAGGCACAGAATGTTCAAAGGCACAGAATGTTCAAAGGCACAGAATGTTCAAAGGCACAGAATGTTCAAAGGCACAGAATGTTCAAAGGCACAGAATGTTCAAAGGCACAGAATGTTCAAAGGCACAGAATGTTCAAAGGCACAGAATGTTCAAAGGCACAGAATGTTCAAGGCACAGAATGTTCAAAGGCACAGAATGTTCAAAGGCACAGAATGTTCAAAGGCACAGAATGTTCAAAGGCACAGAATGTTCAAAGGCACAGAATGTTCAAAGGCACAGAATGTTCAAAGGCACAGAATGTTCAAAGGCACAGAATGTTCAAAGGCACAGAATGTTCAAAGGCACAGAATGTTCAAAGGCACAGAATGTTCAAAGGCACAGAATGTTCAAAGGCACAGAATGTTCAAAGGCACAGAATGTTCAAAGGCACAGAATGTTCAAAGGCACAGAATGTTCAAAGGCACAGAATGTTCAAAGGCCACAGAATGTTCAAAGGCACAGAATGTTCAAAGGCACAGAATGTTCAAAGGCACAGAATGTTCAAAGGCACAGAATGTTCAAAGGCACAGAATGTTCAAAGGCACAGAATGTTCAAGGGCACAGAATGTTCAAAGGCACAGAATGTTCAAAGGCACAGAATGTTCAAGGCACAGAATGTTCAAAGGCACAGAATGTTCAAAGGCACAGAATGTTCAAAGGCACAGAATGTTCAAAGGCACAGAATGTTCAAAGGCACAGAATGTTCAAAGGCACAGAATGTTCAAAGGCACAGAATGTTCAAAGGCACAGAATGTTCAAGGCACAGAATGTTCAAAGGCACAGAATGTTCAAAGGCACAGAATGTTCAAAGGCACAGAATGTTCAAAGGCACAGAATGTTCAAAGGCACAGAATGTTCAAAGGCACAGAATGTTCAAGGCACAGAATGTTCAAAGGCACAGAATGTTCAAAGGCACAGAATGTTCAGGGCACAGAATGTTCAAAGGCACAGAATGTTCAAAGGCACAGAATGTTCAAAGGCACAGAATGTTCAAAGGCACAGAATGTTCAAAGGCACAGAATGTTCAAAGGCACAGAATGTTCAAAGGCACAGAATGTTCAAAGGCACAGAATGTTCAAGGCACAGAATGTTCAAAGGCACAGAATGTTCAAAGGCACAGAATGTTCAAAGGCACAGAATGTTCAAAGGCACAGAATGTTCAAAGGCACAGAATGTTCAAAGGCACAGAATGTTCAAGGCACAGAATGTTCAAGGCACAGAATGTTCAAAGGCACAGAATGTTCAAAGGCACAGAATGTTCAAAGGCACAGAATGTTCAAAGGCACAGAATGTTCAAAGGCACAGAATGTTCAAAGGCACAGAATGTTCAAAGGCACAGAATGTTCAAAGGCACAGAATGTTCAAAGGCACAGAATGTTCAAGGCACAGAATGTTCAAAGGCACAGAATGTTCAAAGGCACAGAATGTTCAAAGGCACAGAATGTTCAAAGGCACAGAATGTTCAAAGGCACAGAATGTTCAAAGGCACAGAATGTTCAAGGCACAGAATGTTCAAAGGCACAGAATGTTCAAAGGCCAGAATGTCAAGGCACAGAATGTTCAAAGGCACAGAATGTTCAAAGGCACAGAATGTTCAAAGGCACAGAATGTTCAAAGGCACAGAATGTTCAAAGGCACAGAATGTTCAAAGGCACAGAATGTTCAAAGGCACAGAATGTTCAAAGGCACAGAATGTTCAAAGGCACAGAATGTTCAAAGGCACAGAATGTTCAAAGGCACAGAATGTTCAAAGGCACAGAATGTTCAAAGGCACAGAATGTTCAAAGGCACAGAATGTTCAAAGGCACAGAATGTTCAAAGGCACAGAATGTTCAAAGGCACAGAATGTTCAAAGGCACAGAATGTTCAAAGGCACAGAATGTTCAAAGGCACAGAATGTTCAAAGGCACAGAATGTTCAAAGGCACAGAATGTTCAAAGGCACAGAATGTTCAAAGGCACAGAATGTTCAAAGGCACAGAATGTTCAAAGGCACAGAATGTTCAAAGGCACAGAATGTTCAAAGGCACAGAATGTTCAAAGGCACAGAATGTTCAAAGGCACAGAATGTTCAAAGGCACAGAATGTTCAAAGGCACAGAATGTTCAAAGGCACAGAATGTTCAAAGGCACAGAATGTTCAAAGGCACAGAATGTTCAAGGCACAGAATGTTCAAAGGCACAGAATGTTCAAAGGCACAGAATGTTCAAAGGCACAGAATGTTCAAAGGCACAGAATGTTCAAAGGCACAGAATGTTCAAAGGCACAGAATGTTCAAAGGCACAGAATGTTCAAAGGCACAGAATGTTCAAAGGCACAGAATGTTCAACGGCAGAATGTCAAAGGCACAGATGTTCAGGCACAGAATGTTCAAAGGCACAGAATGTTCAAAGGCACAGAATGTTCAAGGGCACAGAATGTTCAAAGGCACAGAATGTTCAAAGGCACAGAATGTTCAAAGGCACAGAATGTTCAAAGGCACAGAATGTTCAAAGGCACAGAATGTTCAAAGGCACAGAATGTTCAAAGGCACAGAATGTTCAGGGCACAGAATGTTCAAAGGCACAGAATGTTCAAAGGCACAGAATGTTCAGGCACAGAATGTTCAAAGGCACAGAATGTTCAAAGGCACAGAATGTTCAAAGGCACAGAATGTTCAAAGGCACAGAATGTTCAAAGGCACAGAATGTTCAAAGGCACAGAATGTTCAAAGGCACAGAATGTTCAAAGGCACAGAATGTTCAAAGGCACAGAATGTTCAAAGGCACAGAATGTTCAAAGGCACAGAATGTTCAAAGGCACAGAATGTTCAAAGGCACAGAATGTTCAAGGCACAGAATGTTCAAAGGCACAGAATGTTCAAAGGCACAGAATGTTCAAAGGCACAGAATGTTCAAAGGCACAGAATGTTCAAAGGCACAGAATGTTCAAAGGCACAGAATGTTCAAAGGCACAGAATGTTCAAAGGCACAGAATGTTCAAAGGCACAGAATGTTCAAAGGCACAGAATGTTCAAAGGCACAGAATGTTCAAAGGCACAGAATGTTCAAAGGCACAGAATGTTCAAGGCACAGAATGTTCAAAGGCACAGAATGTTCAAAGGCACAGAATGTTCAAAGGCACAGAATGTTCAAAGGCACAGAATGTTTCAAAGGCACAGAATGTTCAAAGGCACAGAATGTTCAAAGGCACAGAATGTTCAAAGGCACAGAATGTTCAAAGGCACAGAATGTTCAAAGGCACAGAATGTTCAAAGGCACAGAATGTTCAAAGGCACAGAATGTTCAAGGCACAGAATGTTCAAAGGCACAGAATGTTCAAAGGCACAGAATGTTCAAAGGCACAGAATGTTCAAAGGCACAGAATGTTCAAAGGCACAGAATGTTCAAAGGCACAGAATGTTCAAAGGCACAGAATGTTCAAAGGCACAGAATGTTCAAAGGCACAGAATGTTCAAAGGCACAGAATGTTCAAAGGCACAGAATGTTCAAAGGCACAGAATGTTCAAAGGCACAGAATGTTCAAAGGCACAGAATGTTCAAAGGCACAGAATGTTCAAAGGCACAGAATGTTCAAAGGCACAGAATGTTCAAAGGCACAGAATGTTCAAAGGCACAGAATGTTCAAAGGCACAGAATGTTCAAAGGCACAGAATGTTCAAAGGCACAGAATGTTCAAAGGCACAGAATGTTCAAAGGCACAGAATGTTCAAAGGCACAGAATGTTCAAGGCACAGAATGTTCAAAGGCACAGAATGTTCAAAGGCACAGAATGTTCAAGGCACAGAATGTTCAAGGCACAGAATGTTCAAAGGCACAGAATGTTCAAAGGCACAGAATGTTCAAAGGCACAGAATGTTCAAAGGCACAGAATGTTCAAAGGCACAGAATGTTCAGGGCACAGAATGTTCAAAGGCACAGAATGTTCAAGGCACAGAATGTTCAAGGCACAGAATGTTCAAAGGCACAGAATGTTCAAGGCACAGAATGTTCAAAGGCACAGAATGTTCAAAGGCACAGAATGTTCAAAGGCACAGAATGTTCAAAGGCACAGAATGTTTCAAAGGCACAGAATGTTCAAAGGCACAGAATGTTCAAGGCACAGAATGTTCAAAGGCACAGAATGTTCAAAGGCACAGAATGTTCAAAGGCACAGAATGTTCAAAGGCACAGAATGTTCAAAGGCACAGAATGTTCAAAGGCACAGAATGTTCAAAGGCACAGAATGTTCAAAGGCACAGAATGTTCAAAGGCACAGAATGTTCAAGGCACAGAATGTTCAAAGGCACAGAATGTTCAAAGGCACAGAATGTTCAAAGGCACAGAATGTTCAAAGGCACAGAATGTTCAAAGGCACAGAATGTTCAAAGGCACAGAATGTTCAAAGGCACAGAATGTTCAAAGGCACAGAATGTTCAAAGGCACAGAATGTTCAAAGGCACAGAATGTTCAAAGGCACAGAATGTTCAAAGGCACAGAATGTTCAAAGGCACAGAATGTTCAAAGGCACAGAATGTTCAAGGGCACAGAATGTTCAAAGGCACAGAATGTTCAAGGCACAGAATGTTCAAGGGCACAGAATGTTCAAAGGCACAGAATGTTCAAAGGCACAGAATGTTCAAAGGCACAGAATGTTCAAAGGCACAGAATGTTCAAAGGCACAGAATGTTCAAAGGCACAGAATGTTCAAAGGCACAGAATGTTCAAAGGCACAGAATGTTCAAAGGCACAGAATGTTCAAAGGCACAGAATGTTCAAAGGCACAGAATGTTCAAAGGCACAGAATGTTCAAAGGCACAGAATGTTCAAAGGCACAGAATGTTCAAAGGCACAGAATGTTCAAAGGCACAGAAATGTTCAAAGGCCAGAATGTTCAAAGGCACAGAATGTTCAAAGGCACAGAATGTTCAAAGGCACAGAATGTTCAAGGCACAGAATGTTCAAAGGCACAGAATGTTCAAAGGCACAGAATGTTCAAAGGCACAGAATGTTCAAAGGCACAGAATGTTCAAAGGCACAGAATGTTCAAAGGCACAGAATGTTCAAAGGCACAGAATGTTCAAAGGCACAGAATGTTCAAGGCACAGAATGTTCAAAGGCACAGAATGTTCAAGGCACAGAATGTTCAAAGGCACAGAATGTTCAAAGGCACAGAATGTTCAAAGGCACAGAATGTTCAAAGGCACAGAATGTTCAAAGGCACAGAATGTTCAAAGGCACAGAATGTTCAAAGGCACAGAATGTTCAAAGGCACAGAATGTTCAAAGGCACAGAATGTTCAAAGGCACAGAATGTTCAAAGGCACAGAATGTTCAAAGGCACAGAATGTTCAAAGGCACAGAATGTTCAAGGCACAGAATGTTCAAAGGCACAGAATGTTCAAAGGCACAGAATGTTCAAAGGCACAGAATGTTCAAAGGCACAGAATGTTCAAAGGCACAGAATGTTCAAAGGCACAGAATGTTCAAAGGCACAGAATGTTCAAAGGCACAGAATGTTCAAAGGCACAGAATGTTCAAGGCACAGAATGTTCAAAGGCACAGAATGTTCAAAGGCACAGAATGTTCAAAGGCACAGAATGTTCAAAGGCACAGAATGTTCAAAGGCACAGAATGTTCAAAGGCACAGAATGTTCAAAGGCACAGAATGTTCAAAGGCACAGAATGTTCAAGGCACAGAATGTTCAAAGGCACAGAATGTTCAAAGGCACAGAATGTTCAAGGCACAGAATGTTCAAAGGCACAGAATGTTCAAAGGCACAGAATGTTCAAAGGCACAGAATGTTCAAAGGCACAGAATGTTCAAAGGCACAGAATGTTCAAAGGCACAGAATGTTCAAAGGCACAGAATGTTCAAAGGCACAGAATGTTCAAAGGCACAGAATGTTCAAAGGCACAGAATGTTCAAAGGCACAGAATGTTCAAAGGCACAGAATGTTCAAAGGCACAGAATGTTCAAAGGCACAGAATGTTCAAAGGCACAGAATGTTCAAAGGCACAGAATGTTCAAAGGCACAGAATGTTCAAAGGCACAGAATGTTCAAAGGCACAGAATGTTCAAGGCACAGAATGTTCAAAGGCACAGAATGTTCAAAGGCACAGAATGTTCAAAGGCACAGAATGTTCAAGGGCACAGAATGTTCAAAGGCACAGAATGTTCAAAGGCACAGAATGTTCAAAGGCACAGAATGTTCAAAGGCACAGAATGTTCAAAGGCACAGAATGTTCAAAGGCACAGAATGTTCAAAGGCACAGAATGTTCAAAGGCACAGAATGTTCAGGGCACAGAATGTTCAAAGGCACAGAATGTTCAGGGCACAGAATGTTCAAAGGCACAGAATGTTCAAAGGCACAGAATGTTCAAAGGCACAGAATGTTCAAAGGCACAGAATGTTCAAAGGCACAGAATGTTCAAAGGCACAGAATGTTCAAAGGCACAGAATGTTCAAAGGCACAGAATGTTCAAAGGCACAGAATGTTCAAAGGCACAGAATGTTCAAAGGCACAGAATGTTCAAAGGCACAGAATGTTCAAAGGCACAGAATGTTCAAGGCACAGAATGTTCAAAGGCACAGAATGTTCAAAGGCACAGAATGTTCAAAGGCACAGAATGTTCAAAGGCACAGAATGTTCAAAGGCACAGAATGTTCAAAGGCACAGAATGTTCAAAGGCACAGAATGTTCAAAGGCACAGAATGTTCAAAGGCACAGAATGTTCAAAGGCACAGAATGTTCAAAGGCACAGAATGTTCAAAGGCACAGAATGTTCAAAGGCACAGAATGTTCAAAGGCACAGAATGTTCAAAGGCACAGAATGTTCAAAGGCACAGAATGTTCAAAGGCACAGAATGTTCAAAGGCACAGAATGTTCAAAGGCACAGAATGTTCAAAGGCACAGAATGTTCAAGGCACAGAATGTTCAAAGGCACAGAATGTTCAAAGGCACAGAATGTTCAAGGCACAGAATGTTCAAAGGCACAGAATGTTCAAAGGCACAGAATGTTCAAGGGCACAGAATGTTCAAAGGCACAGAATGTTCAAAGGCACAGAATGTTCAAAGGCACAGAATGTTCAAAGGCACAGAATGTTCAAAGGCACAGAATGTTCAAAGGCACAGAATGTTCAAAGGCACAGAATGTTCAAAGGCACAGAATGTTCAGGGCACAGAATGTTCAAAGGCACAGAATGTTCAAAGGCACAGAATGTTCAAGGGCACAGAATGTTCAAAGGCACAGAATGTTCAAAGGCACAGAATGTTCAAAGGCACAGAATGTTCAAAGGCACAGAATGTTCAAAGGCACAGAATGTTCAAAGGCACAGAATGTTCAGGGCACAGAATGTTCAGGGCACAGAATGTTCAAAGGCACAGAATGTTCAAAGGCACAGAATGTTCAAAGGCACAGAATGTTCAAAGGCACAGAATGTTCAAAGGCACAGAATGTTCAAAGGCACAGAATGTTCAAAGGCACAGAATGTTCAAAGGCACAGAATGTTCAAAGGCACAGAATGTTCAAAGGCACAGAATGTTCAAAGGCACAGAATGTTCAAAGGCACAGAATGTTCAAAGGCACAGAATGTTCAAAGGCACAGAATGTTCAAAGGCACAGAATGTTCAAAGGCACAGAATGTTCAAAGGCACAGAATGTTCAGGGCACAGAATGTTCAAAGGCACAGAATGTTCAAAGGCACAGAATGTTCAAGGCACAGAATGTTCAAAGGCACAGAATGTTCAAAGGCACAGAATGTTCAAAGGCACAGAATGTTCAAAGGCACAGAATGTTCAAAGGCACAGAATGTTCAAAGGCACAGAATGTTCAAAGGCACAGAATGTTCAAAGGCACAGAATGTTCAAAGGCACAGAATGTTCAAAGGCACAGAATGTTCAAAGGCACAGAATGTTCAAAGGCACAGAATGTTCAAAGGCACAGAATGTTCAAAGGCACAGAATGTTCAAAGGCACAGAATGTTCAAAGGCACAGAATGTTCAAAGGCACAGAATGTTCAAAGGCACAGAATGTTCAAAGGCACAGAATGTTCAAAGGCACAGAATGTTCAAAGGCACAGAATGTTCAAAGGCACAGAATGTTCAAAGGCACAGAATGTTCAGGGCACAGAATGTTCAAAGGCACAGAATGTTCAAAGGCACAGAATGTTCAAAGGCACAGAATGTTCAGGGCACAGAATGTTCAAAGGCACAGAATGTTCAAAGGCACAGAATGTTCAAAGGCACAGAATGTTCAAAGGCACAGAATGTTCAAAGGCACAGAATGTTCAAAGGCACAGAATGTTCAAAGGCACAGAATGTTCAAGGGCACAGAATGTTCAAAGGCACAGAATGTTCAAAGGCACAGAATGTTCAAGGGCACAGAATGTTCAAAGGCACAGAATGTTCAAAGGCACAGAATGTTCAAAGGCACAGAATGTTCAAAGGCACAGAATGTTCAAAGGCACAGAATGTTCAAAGGCACAGAATGTTCAAAGGCACAGAATGTTCAAAGGCACAGAATGTTCAAAGGCACAGAATGTTCAAAGGCACAGAATGTTCAAGGCACAGAATGTTCAGCACAGAATGTTCAAAGGCACAGAATGTTCAAAGGCACAGAATGTTCAAAGGCACAGAATGTTCAAAGGCACAGAATGTTCAAAGGCACAGAATGTTCAAGGCACAGAATGTTCAAAGGCACAGAATGTTCAAAGGCACAGAATGTTCAAAGGCACAGAATGTTCAAAGGCACAGAATGTTCAAAGGCACAGAATGTTCAAAGGCACAGAATGTTCAAAGGCACAGAATGTTCAAAGGCACAGAATGTTCAAAGGCACAGAATGTTCAAAGGCACAGAATGTTCAAAGGCACAGAATGTTCAAAGGCACAGAATGTTCAAAGGCACAGAATGTTCAAAGGCACAGAATGTTCAAAGGCACAGAATGTTCAAAGGCACAGAATGTTCAAAGGCACAGAATGTTCAAAGGCACAGAATGTTCAAAGGCACAGAATGTTCAAAGGCACAGAATGTTCAGGGCACAGAATGTTCAAAGGCACAGAATGTTCAAAGGCACAGAATGTTCAAAGGCACAGAATGTTCAAAGGCACAGAATGTTCAAGGCACAGGAATGTTCAAAGGCACAGAATGTTCAAAGGCACAGAATGTTCAAAGGCACAGAATGTTCAAAGGCACAGAATGTTCAAAGGCACAGAATGTTCAAAGGCACAGGAATGTTCAAAGGCACAGAATGTTCAAAGGCACAGAATGTTCAAAGGCACAGAATGTTCAAAGGCACAGAATGTTCAAAGGCACAGAATGTTCAGGCACAGAATGTTCAAAGGCACAGAATGTTCAAAGGCACAGAATGTTCAAGGCACAGAATGTTCAAAGGCACAGAATGTTCAAAGGCACAGAATGTTCAAAGGCACAGAATGTTTCAAAGGCACAGAATGTTCAAAGGCACAGAATGTTCAAAGGCACAGAATGTTCAAGGCACAGAATGTTCAAGGCACAGAATGTTCAAAGGCACAGAATGTTCAAAGGCACAGAATGTTCAAAGGCACAGAATGTTCAAAGGCACAGAATGTTCAAAGGCACAGAATGTTCAAAGGCACAGAATGTTCAAAGGCACAGAATGTTCAAAGGCACAGAATGTTCAAAGGGCACAGAATGTTCAAAGGCACAGAATGTTCAAAGGCACAGAATGTTCAAAGGCACAGAATGTTCAAAGGCACAGAATGTTCAAAGGCACAGAATGTTCAAAGGCACAGAATGTTCCAAAGGCACAGAATGTTCAAAGGCACAGAATGTTCAAAGGCACAGAATGTTCAAGGCACAGAATGTTCAAAGGCACAGAATGTTCAAAGGCACAGAATGTTCAAAGGCACAGAATGTTCAAGGCACAGAATGTTCAAAGGCACAGAATGTTTTCAAGGGCACAGAATGTTCAAAGGCACAGAATGTTCAAAGGCACAGACTGTTTCAAAGGCACAGAATGTTCAAAGGCACAGAATGTTCAAAGGCACAGAATGTTCAAAGGCACAGAATGTTCAAAGGCACAGAATGTTCAAAGGCACAGAATGTTCAAAGGCACAGAATGTTCAAAGGCACAGAATGTTCAAAGGCACAGAATGTTCAAAGGCACAGAATGTTCAAAGGCACAGAATGTTCAAAGGCACAGAATGTTCAAAGGCACAGAATGTTCAAAGGCACAGAATGTTCAAAGGCACAGAATGTTCAAAGGCACAGAATGTTCAAAGGCACAGAATGTTCAAAGGCACAGAATGTTCAAAGGCACAGAATGTTCAAAGGCACAGAATGTTCAAAGGCACAGAATGTTCAAAGGCACAGAATGTTCAAAGGCACAGAATGTTCAAAGGCACAGAATGTTCAAAGGCACAGAATGTTCAAAGGCACAGAATGTTCAAAGGCACAGAATGTTCAAAGGCACAGAATGTTCAAAGGCACAGAATGTTCAAAGGCACAGAATGTTCAAAGGCACAGAATGTTCAAAGGCACAGAATGTTCAAGGCACAGAATGTTCAAAGGCACAGAATGTTCAAAGGCACAGAATGTTCAAAGGCACAGAATGTTCAAAGGCACAGAATGTTCAAAGGCACAGAATGTTCAAAGGCACAGAATGTTCAAAGGCACAGAATGTTCAAAGGCACAGAATGTTCAAAGGCACAGAATGTTCAAAGGCACAGAATGTTCAAAGGCACAGAATGTTCAAAGGCACAGAATGTTCAAAGGCACAGAATGTTCAAAGGCACAGAATGTTCAAGGCACAGAATGTTCAAAGGCACAGAATGTTCAAGGCACAGAATGTTCAAAGGCACAGAATGTTCAAAGGCACAGAATGTTCAAAGGCACAGAATGTTCAAAGGCACAGAATGTTCAAAGGCACAGAATGTTCAAAGGCACAGAATGTTCAAAGGCACAGAATGTTCAAAGGCACAGAATGTTCAAAGGCACAGAATGTTCAAAGGCACAGAATGTTCAAAGGCACAGAATGTTCAAAGGCACAGAATGTTCAAAGGCACAGAATGTTCAAAGGCACAGAATGTTCAAAGGCACAGAATGTTCAAAGGCACAGAATGTTCAAAGGCACAGAATGTTCAAAGGCACAGAATGTTCAAAGGCACAGAATGTTCAAAGGCACAGAATGTTCAAAGGCACAGAATGTTCAAAGGCACAGAATGTTCAAAGGCACAGAATGTTCAAAGGCACAGAATGTTCAAAGGCACAGAATGTTCAAAGGCACAGAATGTTCAAAGGCACAGAATGTTCAAAGGCACAGAATGTTCAAAGGCACAGAATGTTCAAAGGCACAGAATGTTCAAAGGCACAGAATGTTCAAAGGCACAGAATGTTCAAAGGCACAGAATGTTCAAAGGCACAGAATGTTCAAAGGCACAGAATGTTCAAAGGCACAGAATGTTCAAAGGCACAGAATGTTCAAAGGCACAGAATGTTCAAAGGCACAGAATGTTCAAAGGCACAGAATGTTCAAAGGCACAGAATGTTCAAAGGCACAGAATGTTCAAAGGCACAGAATGTTCAAAGGCACAGAATGTTCAAAGGCACAGAATGTTCAAAGGCACAGAATGTTCAAAGGCACAGAATGTTCAAAGGCACAGAATGTTCAAAGGCACAGAATGTTCAAAGGCACAGAATGTTCAAAGGCACAGAATGTTCAAAGGCACAGAATGTTCAAAGGCACAGAATGTTCAAAGGCACAGAATGTTCAAAGGCACAGAATGTTCAAAGGCACAGAATGTTCAAAGGCACAGAATGTTCAAAGGCACAGAATGTTCAAAGGCACAGAATGTTCAAAGGCACAGAATGTTCAAAGGCACAGAATGTTCAAAGGCACAGAATGTTCAAAGGCACAGAATGTTCAAAGGCACAGAATGTTCAAAGGCACAGAATGTTCAAAGGCACAGAATGTTCAAAGGCACAGAATGTTCAAAGGCACAGAATGTTCAAAGGCACAGAATGTTCAAAGGCACAGAATGTTCAAAGGCACAGAATGTTCAAGCACAGAATGTTCAAGGCACAGAATGTTCAAAGGCACAGAATGTTCAAAGGCACAGAATGTTCAAAGGCACAGAATGTTCAAAGGCACAGAATGTTCAAAGGCACAGAATGTTCAAAGGCACAGAATGTTCAAAGGCACAGAATGTTCAAAGGCACAGAATGTTCAAAGGCACAGAATGTTCAAAGGCACAGAATGTTCAAAGGCACAGAATGTTCAAAGGCACAGAATGTTCAAAGGCACAGAATGTTCAAAGGCACAGAATGTTCAAAGGCACAGAATGTTCAAAGGCACAGAATGTTCAAAGGCACAGAATGTTCAAAGGCACAGAATGTTCAAAGGCACAGAATGTTCAAAGGCACAGAATGTTCAAAGGCACAGAATGTTCAAAGGCACAGAATGTTCAAAGGCACAGAATGTTCAAAGGCACAGAATGTTCAAAGGCACAGAATGTTCAAAGGCACAGAATGTTCAAAGGCACAGAATGTTCAAAGGCACAGAATGTTCAAAGGCACAGAATGTTCAAAGGCACAGAATGTTCAAAGGCACAGAATGTTCAAAGGCACAGAATGTTCAAAGGCACAGAATGTTCAAAGGCACAGAATGTTCAAAGGCACAGAATGTTCAAAGGCACAGAATGTTCAAAGGCACAGAATGTTCAAAGGCACAGAATGTTCAAAGGCACAGAATGTTCAAAGGCACAGAATGTTCAAAGGCACAGAATGTTCAAAGGCACAGAATGTTCAAAGGCACAGAATGTTCAAAGGCACAGAATGTTCAAAGGCACAGAATGTTCAAAGGCACAGAATGTTCAAAGGCACAGAATGTTCAAAGGCACAGAATGTTCAAAGGCACAGAATGTTCAAAGGCACAGAATGTTCAAAGGCACAGAATGTTCAAAGGCACAGAATGTTCAAAGGCACAGAATGTTCAAAGGCACAGAATGTTCAAAGGCACAGAATGTTCAAAGGCACAGAATGTTCAAAGGCACAGAATGTTCAAAGGCACAGAATGTTCAAAGGCACAGAATGTTCAAAGGCACAGAATGTTCAAAGGCACAGAATGTTCAAAGGCACAGAATGTTCAAAGGCACAGAATGTTCAAAGGCACAGAATGTTCAAAGGCACAGAATGTTCAAAGGCACAGAATGTTCAAAGGCACAGAATGTTCAAAGGCACAGAATGTTCAAAGGCACAGAATGTTCAAAGGCACAGAATGTTCAAAGGCACAGAATGTTCAAAGGCACAGAATGTTCAAAGGCACAGAATGTTCAAAGGCACAGAATGTTCAAAGGCACAGAATGTTCAAAGGCACAGAATGTTCAAGGCACAGAATGTTCAAAGGCACAGAATGTTCAAAGGCACAGAATGTTCAAAGGCACAGAATGTTCAAAGGCACAGAATGTTCAAAGGCACAGAATGTTCAAAGGCACAGAATGTTCAAGGCACAGAATGTTCAAGGCACAGAATGTTCAAAGGCACAGAATGTTCAAAGGCACAGAATGTTCAAAGGCACAGAATGTTCAAAGGCACAGAATGTTCAAAGGCACAGAATGTTCAAAGGCACAGAATGTTCAAAGGCACAGAATGTTCAAAGGCACAGAATGTTCAAAGGCACAGAATGTTCAAAGGCACAGGAATGTTCAAAGGCACAGAATGTTCAAAGGCACAGAATGTTCAAAGGCACAGAATGTTCAAAGGCACAGAATGTTCAAAGGCACAGAATGTTCAAAGGCACAGAATGTTCAAAGGCACAGAATGTTCAAAGGCACAGAATGTTCAAAGGCACAGAATGTTCAAAGGCACAGAATGTTCAAAGGCACAGAATGTTCAAAGGCACAGAATGTTCAAAGGCACAGAATGTTCAAAGGCACAGAATGTTCAAAGGCACAGAATGTTCAAAGGCACAGAATGTTCAAGGCACAGAATGTTCAAAGGCACAGAATGTTCAAAGGCACAGAATGTTCAAAGGCACAGAATGTTCAAAGGCACAGAATGTTCAAAGGCACAGAATGTTCAAAGGCACAGAATGTTCAAAGGCACAGAATGTTCAAAGGCACAGAATGTTCAAAGGCACAGAATGTTCAAAGGCACAGAATGTTCAAAGGCACAGAATGTTCAAAGGCACAGAATGTTCAAAGGCACAGAATGTTCAAAGGCACAGAATGTTCAAAGGCACAGAATGTTCAAAGGCACAGAATGTTCAAAGGCACAGAATGTTCAAAGGCACAGAATGTTCAAAGGCACAGAATGTTCAAAGGCACAGAATGTTCAAAGGCACAGAATGTTCAAAGGCACAGAATGTTCAAAGGCACAGAATGTTCAAAGGCACAGAATGTTCAAAGGCACAGAATGTTCAAAGGCACAGAATGTTCAAAGGCACAGAATGTTCAAAGGCACAGAATGTTCAAAGGCACAGAATGTTCAAAGGCACAGAATGTTCAAAGGCACAGAATGTTCAAAGGCACAGAATGTTCAAAGGCACAGAATGTTCAAAGGCACAGAATGTTCAAAGGCACAGAATGTTCAAAGGCACAGAATGTTCAAAGGCACAGAATGTTCAAAGGCACAGAATGTTCAAAGGCACAGAATGTTCAAAGGCACAGAATGTTCAAAGGCACAGAATGTTCAAAGGCACAGAATGTTCAAAGGCACAGAATGTTCAAAGGCACAGAATGTTCAAAGGCACAGAATGTTCAAAGGCACAGAATGTTCAAAGGCACAGAATGTTCAAAGGCACAGAATGTTCAAAGGCACAGAATGTTCAAAGGCACAGAATGTTCAAAGGCACAGAATGTTCAAAGGCACAGAATGTTCAAAGGCACAGAATGTTCAAAGGCACAGAATGTTCAAAGGCACAGAATGTTCAAAGGCACAGAATGTTCAAAGGCACAGAATGTTCAAAGGCACAGAATGTTCAAAGGCACAGAATGTTCAAAGGCACAGAATGTTCAAAGGCACAGAATGTTCAAAGGCACAGAATGTTCAAAGGCACAGAATGTTCAAAGGCACAGAATGTTCAAAGGCACAGAATGTTCAAAGGCACAGAATGTTCAAAGGCACAGAATGTTCAAAGGCACAGAATGTTCAAAGGCACAGAATGTTCAAAGGCACAGAATGTTCAAAGGCACAGAATGTTCAAAGGCACAGAATGTTCAAAGGCACAGAATGTTCAAAGGCACAGAATGTTCAAAGGCACAGAATGTTCAAAGGCACAGAATGTTCAAAGGCACAGAATGTTCAAAGGCACAGAATGTTCAAAGGCACAGAATGTTCAAAGGCACAGAATGTTCAAAGGCACAGAATGTTCAAAGGCACAGAATGTTCAAAGGCACAGAATGTTCAAAGGCACAGAATGTTCAAAGGCACAGAATGTTCAAAGGCACAGAATGTTCAAAGGCACAGAATGTTCAAAGGCACAGAATGTTCAAAGGCACAGAATGTTCAAAGGCACAGAATGTTCAAAGGCACAGAATGTTCAAAGGCACAGAATGTTCAAAGGCACAGAATGTTCAAAGGCACAGAATGTTCAAAGGCACAGAATGTTCAAAGGCACAGAATGTTCAAAGGCACAGAATGTTCAAAGGCACAGAATGTTCAAAGGCACAGAATGTTCAAAGGCACAGAATGTTCAAAGGCACAGAATGTTCAAAGGCACAGAATGTTCAAGGCACAGAATGTTCAAAGGCACAGAATGTTCAAAGGCACAGAATGTTCAAAGGCACAGAATGTTCAAAGGCACAGAATGTTCAAAGGCACAGAATGTTCAAAGGCACAGAATGTTCAAAGGCACAGAATGTTCAAAGGCACAGAATGTTCAAAGGCACAGAATGTTCAAAGGCACAGAATGTTCAAAGGCACAGAATGTTCAAAGGCACAGAATGTTCAAAGGCACAGAATGTTCAAAGGCACAGAATGTTCAAAGGCACAGAATGTTCAAAGGCACAGAATGTTCAAAGGCACAGAATGTTCAAAGGCACAGAATGTTCAAAGGCACAGAATGTTCAAAGGCACAGAATGTTCAAAGGCACAGAATGTTCAAAGGCACAGAATGTTCAAAGGCACAGAATGTTCAAAGGCACAGAATGTTCAAAGGCACAGAATGTTCAAAGGCACAGAATGTTCAAAGGCACAGAATGTTCAAAGGCACAGAATGTTCAAAGGCACAGAATGTTCAAAGGCACAGAATGTTCAAAGGCACAGAATGTTCAAAGGCACAGAATGTTCAAAGGCACAGAATGTTCAAAGGCACAGAATGTTCAAAGGCACAGAATGTTCAAAGGCACAGAATGTTCAAAGGCACAGAATGTTCAAAGGCACAGAATGTTCAAAGGCACAGAATGTTCAAAGGCACAGAATGTTCAAAGGCACAGAATGTTCAAAGGCACAGAATGTTCAAAGGCACAGAATGTTCAAAGGCACAGAATGTTCAAAGGCACAGAATGTTCAAAGGCACAGAATGTTCAAAGGCACAGAATGTTCAAAGGCACAGAATGTTCAAAGGCACAGAATGTTCAAAGGCACAGAATGTTCAAAGGCACAGAATGTTCAAAGGCACAGAATGTTCAAAGGCACAGAATGTTCAAAGGCACAGAATGTTCAAAGGCACAGAATGTTCAAAGGCACAGAATGTTCAAAGGCACAGAATGTTCAAAGGCACAGAATGTTCAAAGGCACAGAATGTTCAAAGGCACAGAATGTTCAAAGGCACAGAATGTTCAAAGGCACAGAATGTTCAAAGGCACAGAATGTTCAAAGGCACAGAATGTTCAAAGGCGATGAATGTTCAAAGGCACAGAATGTTCAAAGGCGATGAATGTTCAAAGGCACAGAATGTTCAAAGGCGATGAATGTTCAAAGGCGCAGAATGTTCAAAGGCGATGAATGTTCAAAGGCACAGAATGTTCAAAGGCGATGAATGTTCAAAGGCACAGAATGTTCAAAGGCACAGAATGTTCAAAGGCACAGAATGTTCAAAGGCACAGAATGTTCAAAGGCGATGAATGTTCAAAGGCACAGAATGTTCAAAGGCACAGAATGTTCAAAGGCACAGAATGTTCAAAGGCACAGAATGTTCAAAGGCACAGAATGTTCAAAGGCACAGAATGTTCAAAGGCACAGAATGTTCAAAGGCACAGAATGTTCAAAGGCACAGAATGTTCAAAGGCACAGAATGTTCAAAGGCACAGAATGTTCAAAGGCACAGAATGTTCAAAGGCACAGAATGTTCAAAGGCACAGAATGTTCAAAGGCACAGAATGTTCAAAGGCGATGAATGTTCAAAGGCGCAGAATGTTCAAAGGCGATGAATGTTCAAAGGCACAGAATGTTCAAAGGCACAGAATGTTCAAAGGCGATGAATGTTCAAAGGCACAGAATGTTCAAAGGCACAGAATGTTCAAAGGCACAGAATGTTCAAAGGCACAGAATGTTCAAAGGCGATGAATGTTCAAAGGCACAGAATGTTCAAAGGCGATGAATGTTCAAAGGCACAGAATGTTCAAAGGCGATGAATGTTCAAAGGCGCAGAATGTTCAAAGGCGATGAATGTTCAAAGGCACAGAATGTTCAAAGGCACAGAATGTTCAAAGGCACAGAATGTTCAAAGGCACAGAATGTTCAAAGGCACAGAATGTTCAAAGGCACAGAATGTTCAAAGGCACAGAATGTTCAAAGGCACAGAATGTTCAAAGGCACAGAATGTTCAAAGGCACAGAATGTTCAAAGGCACAGAATGTTCAAAGGCACAGAATGTTCAAAGGCACAGAATGTTCAAAGGCACAGAATGTTCAAAGGCGATGAATGTTCAAAGGCACAGAATGTTCAAAGGCGATGAATGTTCAAAGGCACAGAATGTTCAAAGGCGATGAATGTTCAAAGGCGCAGAATGTTCAAAGGCGATGAATGTTCAAAGGCACAGAATGTTCAAAGGCGATGAATGTTCAAAGGCACAGAATGTTCAAAGGCACAGAATGTTCAAAGGCACAGAATGTTCAAAGGCACAGAATGTTCAAAGGCGATGAATGTTCAAAGGCACAGAATGTTCAAAGGCGATGAATGTTCAAAGGCACAGAATGTTCAAAGGCGATGAATGTTCAAAGGCGCAGAATGTTCAAAGGCGATGAATGTTCAAAGGCACAGAATGTTCAAAGGCGATGAATGTTCAAAGGCACAGAATGTTCAAAGGCGATGAATGTTCAAAGGCACAGAATGTTCAAAGGCGATGAATGTTCAAAGGCGCAGAATGTTCAAGGCACAGCATGGCAGAGGAAGAGAAGAGGGGCGAGGCAGATGAGTTTTTTATTACCTGACCGCAGCATGCACAGGTACATATATTATACACACATAGTATTTGGGGCGGGTCTTAATGGGTGCTGACTCCTACAATGCATTTCTAGTTTCTCCTTTATTGAATACTATGCACTTCCAGCTAGGACTTTAATACGCATCACTGCTTCACCTCTACACCTCACTGGCCCACCTGTACACATCGCTGGCAGCAGTGGCCTTGGAGGTGATGGAGTAGACCGGATCCACATAGCCCGGTGTGCCCATGATGCGCGTCGTGTTCACAGTTGTGCCCTCCCCCATCCTCAGCAGCCCAAAGTCCGCAATCTTTGCCTGGTGACTCAGATGAGTGGCATTGTAGCATGAGGGATTAATCACAGTGCATACTTGGTCGCTTGTGGCGCCATCCACAACAGAGCACGGATTCCAATAACAAGGGTTTGTGAGTGAGGTTGGAGAAATGGTTGCTGTAAGAAACACAAAGTGGTTATGAAAAGAACCAGCCATAGTTGCATTGAAACAACTTCGCCTCCGCTAAACGGAAATTATTCTGTCACCTAGTGATCCAGCGCAACCAAGCTTGCCTGCATGCTGTCAGTGATGAGGACGTTGGCAGGCTTGATGTCGCGATGCACGATGCCAAAGCCGTGGAGGTACTCGAAGCCCCGCGCCATGCCGATGAGAATGTCCAGCCGCTGCTTCAGAGTCAGAGGGCGTTCTGCCTCTGCAAGAAACAAGTGGCAGCATGAGTGGCACGTCAGATGAGTGGCCGAGGATGAGTGGCAGAGGATGAGTGGCAGAGGATGAGTGGCAGAGGATGAGTGGCAGAGGATGAGTGGCAGAGGATGAGTGGCAGAGGATGAGTGGCAGAGGACGAGTGGAAGAGGACGAGTGGTAGGGGATGGGTGACAGAGCATGAATGGGAGAGGATGAGTGACGGAGCATGAGTGGCACAACAGAAAACACACTAGAGGAGCAGCACACATACTTGGGCCAATCCATTTGTGAAGGTCGCCATTGGGCACGTATTCATAGATGAGGACTTGCTCAGGCCGAGTCCTCAAGTCTCCACCGATTGCAAAGCCAAGAAGTTTCACAATGTTGGGATGGTTCTTGTCAGCCATCTGCTGGATCTGATCCTCACAGTCACGGGAAAAGTAAAAGTATTAAGCAAGGATGAAGGAACAGATTGAGAAGCAGTGAACACAACAAACAGTCAAGGCGTGACAATTCAAAGGGGAGAAAAAAAACTGAATGTCTTAATTTACTAGCATTGAAGACACAGTAAAACATAGTTGAACAGCAAAGACACTATAGCAATGAAGCATTTTGAGGCGGTTAATTAAATCTCGACGTGGATTTGAAAATGACGTCAATGACACATGCCATCTCATCACGGCTCACCATGGTTCACCATGGCTCACTAGATACCATGTTACTAAAATATGCAATTTGCATGACTGCAGCTCACTGACCTCCTTCTGAAACTCCACGTCGATCAGCTTGGCACGCTTGACAGCCCACAAGGTGGTGCCATCGCGGGGAGACACGCCCTTGTACACATCGCCAAAGGCACCCGCACCCAGCTGGTTGTCCTCGGACCAGTTATTGGTGGCCTTGAGAACATCTGCTAGTGAGAATTCAGTGCAGTGCGAGGCTGACAGGCTGCTCCCCGAGCCTGCTCGTGGTGTCATATGTGAAAGGAGATGCATGGGTGCCGGGGAAAATGCCTGAGCACGAGTTGAGTGGAGTCGAGTCAGGACGAGTGCGGTCGGCCTCGGTCAAACCATGTGCCGAGTCGAGTCCCCTGACTTGGCCCAAAATTCTTCTAGGGAATTGATTCATGGCGTGCTGGTCAGTTCACAGGAGATTATACAGAGGAGGGCTCTGAGGGCCCCTAAGTTTTTTTCGCAGTTGCAAACCTGAAAACTTAGAGTAAGACCATCTACTGCCTCAACACCTTGTCGCACATAAGTTCCAAAATTGTGTAGCCCAGGTTTCGGCCAGCTAGAGTACATCCACAAGTGAAGGAGGCATACAGGCCTGTAAGATTGGGACTGGAGTGCGCTTGTGGGAAGAGATTGAGTCAATCTCACTCATTTCAAGGCAAGAGATTTGAGAACTCGATTTTGGCTGGACTTCGTACTGTCAAGCATGATTACACTTGCAGACTTGCCTGCACATGTCTGAGTTCATGCAATGGAAATCTTATCGCCATGATTGCAAACAGCCACACACAACTGCATCGACAGAGTCTGGTTATTCAAATTTAACTCCTCTGGTTGCTGTGTCTCCCTACCTTTTTGCCTCAGCTTTATCTTGTGCCTGAAGTAAAGCAGAGTGGCGGCCAGAAGCAGGAGAGTGACCACAGCAGCAACAACAATGCCAATGATGACTCCCACTGACACTCCACCTGCTGAGAAAGACTCGCGGTGGGGATAGCAGGAAGCTGATCATTGATAGGGCTATCAAGAGGACATCTTGACGTGTGAGCATTGAACGTTCAGCCAAGCAGGCAGGGTTGCAATAAAAACGATCAGAAGCGTGATACTCCACTTGCAATGGAACAATAAAAGAAAACCAGATTGGTCGTAATTTCGCATGATCTTAATAAGAAGATAACTATACCATGTTTCAACGCACCCCCCTGATCGTCCAAAGCAAGTGAGGTGCTTTCAAAATAATCAGCCATGCATTGTGCCATGCATTGTGACATGACTGCATGTATTGCCATGCCTTGTGCCATGCATTGCCATGTCTTGTGCCAGGTGTTGCTTGCTGTACCAACACTCTGGACTCCGAAATGTCTTTTGCCATAGTTTGGTGATGTTTATTCACTTGCCTGCAGATTGCTTGCAAGTCTTGCAGAAGGATTCACACGTGCCACAAAAGGATGTGTTAGGAGATTGTGTTGTGCCACAAGCAGAGTAATCAGGTGGGCATACGAGGTTGGTGCCAGAGATGTCGCTGCAGTGAGAATGGGAGATGAAAAGGCGGAAACCATGGGCACGGCTGCACATACATTTCTTCGAAAGCTGCAGCAAAAGACATTGCTAATCCCGCAAGAGTCCTCTGTCAGGGCCAACCATGTTCATTACAGCATCTGATGAGCATATCTCATACTGCTTACAAGTTCGTTACGGTTTTGGTACTTGCTCAAGGAAGTTCAGTTCAGGTTTGGTACTTGCTCAAACCTATACAAAAGTTTGGTTCGGTTTTGGTATTTTGCTCAAGCCTTCTTACGCGTTCGTTTCGGGTTTGGTACTTTCTCAAGCCTACTTACAAGTTCCAAGTTCGGTTCAGGTCTGGTACTTGCTCCAGCCTATTACAAGTTTGGTCTGAGTTTGGTGTTTGCTCAAGCCTACTTACAAGTTCGGTTCAGGTTTGGTCCTTGCTCAAACCTACTTACAACTTCATTTCGATTTTGCTACTTGCTCAAGGCTACTTACGAGTTCGGTTCAGTTTTGGTACTTGCTAAAGCCTACTTACAGGTTCAGGTCTGATACATGCTCCAGCCTATTACAAGTTCGATTCAGGTGTGGTACTTGCTCAAGCCTGCTTACAAGTACTGTAATGAGGTGAGACCTCCAATTTCAGCTGGAATCTCCCCGCTGAGATCATTAGCAGAGAGGTTTCTGCTCACAGGGGATGGATGAAAAGTGCAGGAGTAGTCTCGGTTAGCCTCATGCACACCGCAATGCAGCACCGTGCATTCATCTGCATGAACGAAGCAGCACATGATTGAACCATATATGGCAGGTTGGTACAACGGGACTGGGAAACATATATTGAGAGAAAGATGCATGCTGTTGGGGAACCACTGAACTCGTCACAGGTCGTCCCAGAATGCTTTGGAACGGCAACTGGGGTGTGGAGGGGCCACAAAGCGTTAATGGAGATGAGATGATAGATCTGTTTGAAGTAATCAACTGGGCTTGCTCCCAGAACTCTTTGAAACAGCAAGTTGGGCGGCAAGCCTGTGGAGTGCCAAACAACAACGTACAGATAGGTGAGGCGATCAAGGGCAACAGAGTCGCTGAATATGTTGCCAGTGAGGAGATTGGATGAGAGATCCCTGTGCATTGTGTGTTGTGCATTGTGCATTGTGTGTTGTGCATTGTGCATTGTGTGTTGTGGGTTGTGGGTTGGAGAAAAAAAAGAGATGAGAATAACGGGCATGGCAGCCCACGGGGGTTCGATGAGTTGAGATCCCAACCGGTGGAGAGCTCTGTAGGGAGCACTGAGAAGAACGAGCAGCATTCACTGGAAGCAGGAAGGGTGGGGGGTGGAGGGGAATGTACGTAGTTGGGGAAATGTGGGATTGAGTTGGAGCATGAGGGAACGCAGAAGAAAAGGAATTGGGATGGTCCTCGGGGGAAGAATGGAATCATGGGAAGGGGCACACGGATGGCTGCGGTGCGCACAGCACACGAGCCATGCGAGTGGGACATGAAGAACAAAATGATGTGGGTCAGAGACAGAATTCCACTTCGCAAAACTCCTGCAAGTCTGTAAGCTTTTTATTCAGTTTGGAATCAGCCCTGTAGTCTGATAACCCCCGAGGGTTCTGGTGAAAGAACGTGGCAAGTGGGTATGAAGGTTGCTCCAGGGCAACCCACGGCAAGTCGCGAGTTTCGAGATTGTATGATTGTAAAAGCACGCAATGAGGTGATACCAGCGAAGTACATATTTGTAGTTTGCTCGCCCAGTAATTCAGTTCTCAAGGTACTGTCAACAAGCGGCCAATGGTAGCTGGGATAGCCTAGTACTGAAGTCATGATACTTACAGGGTCACCAGGTTGATCAAGGAGCTGAGAAAGGATGGAATAGATCCATCCAAGCGATTCCCGTGTATATCCCTGATAGAGCATGAAGAACAGACAATGCAAGATGACGGAGAGTGAGTATGACGAGGGAGAAAGAGCAAGACGACCGTAATGCTGGCTGGTCAATGAAACTCACTTCGCCTTGGTGCGCACGAGTGGGATGCAGTGCACCGGGTTTCGGCGCTTCCAACCCGGTGCACCGGCTTGCCTTGGTGCATACCAGTGTGGTGCAGTGCAGTGCACCGCTCTGCACTGGTGCGCCCCTAATTGCACCAAGGCTCGCACTGGTGAACCCTTAGTGGCACCAGGGCGCGCACGGGTGCGTGCCATCTTTCATTCAACATTGACGAACACGAAAACACAACTGGAGGATTTGCCGATCCTCTCCTTTCGCCATCTCACCCCCACCTGGACAAATCACAAACTCTTGTTGGTGGGAATCACGTTCTTAACTGTGGGAGTCACGGCATTTTAACTGTGGGAGCGTTTTGAATTGAAGGCAAACGAATTACTCCATAGAATATGACTGCAATCTATCAGCATTGGTTCAGCACCACACCAACCAACCAGCTTAAAGTATATAAGAAGAGGTAGGTCCCTCTAGGGAGTGATTGTGAGGTTTTGGGGGTTAATGAATGTGGTCAGCGTGAGCCCATTCTAAGGACGCGTCAACTCCTGCAAATTTCGGCGATCGATCCTGCGCAGGATCGATTTTTAACTGGGTGAGAAGAGGTTATTTCAATGTTCGGAAGCAATTGCGGGTTTCCAGTGCGGTGGAGATCGATGTTGCAGGATCGATCGCCGATTTCAGCAGGATTTGACGCGTCCTAAACTCATGACGAGCCTACTTGGCTCGGACGAGCCACGACCCAAAAGCCAATGGTCGGCCATTGCTCAACCCAAAGGCCTCAGCCCAGCCCGGCCAAAAATGCAGGCTGGAGGCTGGCCTGCGGTACTAGTTTTGCTCATCCCTAGCCTATGAGGGGAGGACAGGAGAGGAAGATGCAAGAGATTCAGCCTAGATTGGCTGGCAATTGTGTCTGGAAGGTCTTAAAGTTGATGTGACTGTTGGTCGTGTTCGTGCTTATCACCAAGCTCAAACGAGGTGCTTCATACAGATGAGTGAGCCAAGAAAGCTTGGAGATGCCATTGGGAATGGGATCCGTCAAATTGTTGTTTGAAAGAGACCTGTGTGTGCGTGGTGTTTGGGGTAGAAGAAGTGAGCAGATGAGATTAGAGGGCATGGACTGAGGCTATGTTGGAAAAAACGCTAAGGCAATCTAGCTTATCCCGTGTATACGTTTACGTATAAACGGAAAAACGTGATACGGGGACATATACGCGATCCGCTCAGACGTGCAGCCGTTTTCGCGATCTGCACCGATTCTGCGAAACCTGATTTTGAAATCTGGAAATTTGTACTTTTTGAAGGCTGGAGATTCGAAGAGTTGGTTAGTATAGAATTGTGCTTGTGTTTGTGACTATCTTTTATGAGTGAAGATTCCTTTTATGACCGATTGACGTGAAGAGTAAAATACCCCGATTGGACTTACATTTGGTGGGCCTCTCTACAAACACGGAACCTTGGGTAGGGGCTGGTTTTACCAAGCACCCAAGGACTCGCTAGGTGAACCCGTGAAGGCCATCTCTTGTGAGTTAGGCGGTGCGCATAGAGCATTATAGATCCCAAAGTTACTAACAGATTCACTATAAAAAATGTGGCCATATACGTCATATAAGTTTTTAATATGGGCATCTAGGCTACGTTCTTGAGGGTCTTAGACTTTATCTGATCTACCGTCAACTACCTACCACACCAAGAGATTGTCTTAATGAAGGGTTTATAAAGGGATAATAGTCTAGCATATTTCCTCACATGGTCACTTCCTCCTTTTCCGTCAATGGAGTGAAAACGCTAGCGAGGATTCTTGAGTGCTGTAGTAGGTGTGAATGCGATGACTTCGTGCTTACGACATTTTAACTGTGGAAGCGTTCCGAATTCAAGGCAAACGAACTACTCCATAGTATATGAATGGAATCCAACAGCATTGGTTCAGCGCCGCCAACCAACGTGAAGTTTTATAGAATAGGTGCGTCCGTCTAGGGGGTGATTGGGAGGTTTCAGGGGTTAAAATGTGGCTAGCATGACCCTATTTCAGATTCATTGCCACCCTAGCTCATAGCGAGCCTACCAGGCTCGAGACGAGCCTACTAGGCTTGTCACCTATTGGATGAGCCATAAGTCAACCTGGCTATAATTCGGGTTTTTGACAGCCAATGGTCGGCCATTGCTCAACCCGGAAGCCTCAGTCAAGCCCGGCTGAAATGCTGGCTGGACAAGGCCGGCCCGTGGCAGTAGTTTTGCTCATCCCTAGCTTAGGAGTGGAGGATATGAGGAGATGCAGAAAATTCAGCTTGGATTGGCTGCCGATCGTGTCTCTAAGGTTTTTAAGTTGATGTTACTGTTGGTCATGCTTGTGCTTATCACCAGGCTTCATACAAATAAGTGAGCTGGGAAAGGATGGAGATTTCATTGGGAATGTGACCCGTCAAGTTGTTGTTTGAAAGAGACCTGCGTGTGCGAGGTGTGAGTTGGGGTAGAGGAAGTGAGAAGATGAGATTAGAAGGGAAGCACACAAGTTCAACCCAATGGGGAGATGAGGAGAGTATGGTCGGAGACAGGCATGAGTTAAAAACGAATCGCACTTGAATCAATTCTAGTTTGATTCAATTGACCAAACCGGTTCGAAACACACTTCGGAGTGCATCAAATGGCGCCCGTAAAAAAACGAAAAAAAACAAAAAAACAAAGGTTCAGGTGAAGAGGCCTGGAATTAAGGTCTGAAATACGGTATCATATTAACATCCGCAACAAAACGTTTTAAAAAAGGATTCGGGTGAAAACCATCTTTTTTTTTCCAGTCGATTTCCAAAACTGCTGCTGTAGCAGGGCAGGGGTAACTATCCGTGAGTAGAATGAGGGGGCTGTTAGAAGTGTTGCTGATGCACCAACAGATGTTGTGAAATGTGCTTTTGCTCACAACATCTTTAAAATTGAAGCGCTTATTATTATCGAACAGAAGAAGTGAAAGAAACAATCTGGCCAAAATGCTGGGAGGGGGTGGGCCCTTAAGCTCATGACAACTTTGAAGTTATGTGTAGACGAATTCACAAAATGACCTCCCAACAGAGCTCATGCTACTTACCAGCCAGCCCAACCAGCTTGCATTCTTGCGCTCATCTGGTTTCCACCATCCCCCACAACTCCCACTAGCACGAATGTCCGCACGTGGGGGCCTAATCGGAAAAGGGACTACCTTCACATTTCTGTGCATGAATAATCACACAGAAAATCATCCCGCTTTCAACATCCTTAAACCACCCCTGCGAAAACGTTTTCCCTGCCCAAGAAAAAGGTTCTTACTGCTCGGAAATGCATATCCTGAATTCCGGCTCTAACTGTATAGCACATGCAAGCTAGCGTAAATACACACGCTTAGCATAAGCTCAACTCGTATATTCCAACCCGGTCTTCCCCGGTCCAGAGATTGGCCTGGCCAGGCCCAACTACAAAAAGAGAGAGTCGTGCCCGCCAGGAGGGTCCGGCTTCTACCGATGGCCCGCCAGGAGGGTCCGGCTTCTACCGATGGCCCGCCAGGAGGGTCCGGCTTCTACCGATGGCCCGCCAGGAGGGTCCGGCTTCTACCGATGGCCCGCCAGGAGGGTCCGGCTTCTACCGATGGCCCGCCAGGAGGGTCCGGCTTCTACCGATGGCCCGCCAGGAGGGTCCGGCTTCTACCGATGGCCCGCCAGGAGGGTCCGGCTTCTACCGATGGCCCGCCAGGAGGGTCCGGCTTCTACCGATGGCCCGCCAGGAGGGTCCGGCTTCTACCGATGGCCCGCCAGGAGGGTCCGGCTTCTACCGATGGCCCGCCAGGAGGGTCCGGCTTCTACCGATGGCCCGCCAGGAGGGTCCGGCTTCTACCGATGGCCCGCCAGGAGGGTCCGGCTTCTACCGATGGCCCGCCAGGAGGGTCCGGCTTCTACCGATGGCCCGCCAGGAGGGTCCGGCTTCTACCGATGGCCCGCCAGGAGGGTCCGGCTTCTACCGATGGCCCGCCAGGAGGGTCCGGCTTCTACCGATGGCCCGCCAGGAGGGTCCGGCTTCTACCGATGGCCCGCCAGGAGGGTCCGGCTTCTACCGATGGCCCGCCAGGAGGGTCCGGCTTCTACCGATGGCCCGCCAGGAGGGTCCGGCTTCTACCGATGGCCCGCCAGGAGGGTCCGGCTTCTACCGATGGCCCGCCAGGAGGGTCCGGCTTCTACCGATGGCCCGCCAGGAGGGTCCGGCTTCTACCGATGGCCCGCCAGGAGGGTCCGGCTTCTACCGATGGCCCGCCAGGAGGGTCCGGCTTCTACCGATGGCCCGCCAGGAGGGTCCGGCTTCTACCGATGGCCCGCCAGGAGGGTCCGGCTTCTACCGATGGCCCGCCAGGAGGGTCCGGCTTCTACCGATGGCCCGCCAGGAGGGTCCGGCTTCTACCGATGGCCCGCCAGGAGGGTCCGGCTTCTACCGATGGCCCGCCAGGAGGGTCCGGCTTCTACCGATGGCCCGCCAGGAGGGTCCGGCTTCTACCGATGGCCCGCCAGGAGGGTCCGGCTTCTACCGATGGCCCGCCAGGAGGGTCCGGCTTCTACCGATGGCCCGCCAGGAGGGTCCGGCTTCTACCGATGGCCCGCCAGGAGGGTCCGGCTTCTACCGATGGCCCGCCAGGAGGGTCCGGCTTCTACCGATGGCCCGCCAGGAGGGTCCGGCTTCTACCGATGGCCCGCCAGGAGGGTCCGGCTTCTACCGATGGCCCGCCAGGAGGGTCCGGCTTCTACCGATGGCCCGCCAGGAGGGTCCGGCTTCTACCGATGGCCCGCCAGGAGGGTCCGGCTTCTACCGATGGCCCGCCAGGAGGGTCCGGCTTCTACCGATGGCCCGCCAGGAGGGTCCGGCTTCTACCGATGGCCCGCCAGGAGGGTCCGGCTTCTACCGATGGCCCGCCAGGAGGGTCCGGCTTCTACCGATGGCCCGCCAGGAGGGTCCGGCTTCTACCGATGGCCCGCCAGGAGGGTCCGGCTTCTACCGATGGCCCGCCAGGAGGGTCCGGCTTCTACCGATGGCCCGCCAGGAGGGTCCGGCTTCTACCGATGGCCCGCCAGGAGGGTCCGGCTTCTACCGATGGCCCGCCAGGAGGGTCCGGCTTCTACCGATGGCCCGCCAGGAGGGTCCGGCTTCTACCGATGGCCCGCCAGGAGGGTCCGGCTTCTACCGATGGCCCGCCAGGAGGGTCCGGCTTCTACCGATGGCCCGCCAGGAGGGTCCGGCTTCTACCGATGGCCCGCCAGGAGGGTCCGGCTTCTACCGATGGCCCGCCAGGAGGGTCCGGCTTCTACCGATGGCCCGCCAGGAGGGTCCGGCTTCTACCGATGGCCCGCCAGGAGGGTCCGGCTTCTACCGATGGCCCGCCAGGAGGGTCCGGCTTCTACCGATGGCCCGCCAGGAGGGTCCGGCTTCTACCGATGGCCCGCCAGGAGGGTCCGGCTTCTACCGATGGCCCGCCAGGAGGGTCCGGCTTCTACCGATGGCCCGCCAGGAGGGTCCGGCTTCTACCGATGGCCCGCCAGGAGGGTCCGGCTTCTACCGATGGCCCGCCAGGAGGGTCCGGCTTCTACCGATGGCCCGCCAGGAGGGTCCGGCTTCTACCGATGGCCCGCCAGGAGGGTCCGGCTTCTACCGATGGCTCGCCAGGAGGGTCCGGTTTCTACCGATGGCCCGCCAGGAGGGTCCGGCTTCTACCGATGGCCCGCCAGGAGGGTCCGGCTTCTACCGATGGCCCGCCAGGAGGGTCCGGCTTCTACCGATGGCCCGCCAGGAGGGTCCGGCTTCTACCGATGGCCCGCCAGGAGGGTCCGGCTTCTACCGATGGCCCGCCAGGAGGGTCCGGCTTCTACCGATGGCCCGCCAGGAGGGTCCGGCTTCTACCGATGGCCCGCCAGGAGGGTCCGGCTTCTACCGATGGCCCGCCAGGAGGGTCCGGCTTCTACCGATGGCCCGCCAGGAGGGTCCGGCTTCTACCGATGGCCCGCCAGGAGGGCCGGGCTACACTAGCATGAGCAACACGGGTCGATTCGTCCCAACCCGTCCCAATCCAGGCGGACCTTGGGGTGGGTATGACGAGTCGGGTCTGGTCGACTTGTCCTTGTGTCAGGACCTTTGGTGAGTCGACCCGACCCGGGCTAGACTTGGGTCGGACCAGCTGTGACCGAGGGCGGGTCCGGTCGGCCGGATAGTGTATCGGGTCGTTGTCCCATTAATTGCATAATATCTGCAAGGATTGGTGACTTTGCCCACCGATCCATGCAGATCCACGATTTCGACCACCAATCTGTGCAAATCGGGCGCGAATCAACCGGCCATGGTTGCAGATCGATGACTTCAATCGCTGCGTGGGGCACATATTGACCACTGATCCGTGCAGTCCGGCGCATGGATAATTACCTGGCATTTACCCTGGCATTTACCCTTCTGCCCTATTGCACCCTTTCCCTCCTGTTCCCTCTTCCCCCTTTCCCTCGTCAGCCTTTCTTCCCCTGCCCTGCGTGGACACGGGCGAGTCACGCGGGAAAAAAACGTTGGGCTGGTTCGCCCGACCGGTTTTCACATGCGAAGGCCCGTAACCAAGTCAGGACGTTTCGTCCCAATCCCGTCATTATACGAACTCAAAACTCAAATTCGGGACACAGGTCAACTTGACCTAACGGAACAGGCTGACCAACTACACCGAGGTCGGCTTTTTCAGACCTGCGACCTATCCTTGCCAACTAGCCAGGTCGAGTCAGGTCAACCCGCCCGTTCGGGTCGGATGCTCAAGTCTAGGCTAGACCTAGGGTTGAGCAAAAAGCGGACTCAAGAATTGTTCGAATCGAACAATTCTTGGGATGACGTTGTTTGAGTGTTCGTCTGTAGGGGTCGAACATAGTCCTGCTAGACCCGAACTTACACCTGTTTCAGTCGTGAAGGTTCAAGTTCGACTAGGCATGAGTAGGCATGAGCAGGGTATGGAACTGGATCGGTTCGGTTTTATAGCCTCGAATTGAGCTCCAACGCTCTGGTTATTGGCCTATATTTGAACCGGTTTGCTTCGGCACTGGTCGGCTAGTTGTTGCTAGCGAATCGCCGCCCACAAATCACGGTTCTGTTCGGGTAGAAACGGTTAGAACCGAACCGCAATTCGTTTTATTGCTCATGCATTGCCATGAGCAATGGGTCAATCTGTCCCAATCTGTGCAGAAGGATTGACGTCACATGCCACAAAAGCAAGTGTTAGGAGATTGTGTGCCACAGGCAGAGGTGTCAGGTGGGCATGTGAGGTTAGTGCCAGGATGTCGCTGCGGTAACACGGGCAGATGAAAATGCAAAAATCATCGGCACAGCTGCACAGACATTTATTTCAAGTTCAACCAGAATAGTGGAAGGCTAATTGGTTATGGAGGTGGAAATAAAGAAGAAAGGCATGGGGATGGTGGCTAGGAGGGGCATGGAGACATTGACAGCACACCCAAGAACTTGAAAAGCACTGTTACTCCTGCAAGAGTGCTTTTTTTTGTCCAGCCATATGCTTTCAATGAGCATCAGATCAGCCTATCCCACACTGCTCGCAAGTTCGTTTCGGGGTTGGGACATGCACAAGCGTACTTACAAGTACTGCAATGAACTTCGGTTTCCAATAGTAGCTGGAATGTACCCATTAAAATTATTAGAAGCGAGATTTCTGGTCACAGGGGAGGAAAGCATGGTAGTAAACCCTGTTAGCCTCGTGCGTGCAGCAACACAGCGATGTGCATCAACCGATGCACATGAAAGCGTGAACCCATGTGTTCAGCGCTGCATGCATTTAGATGGAGGAGCCCAGCAGTCCTCATAGAAGACATCAAAGGCATGCAACCATCTGGTGAGAATATAGATGAAGACATCATAGAAGCACAGATGGCAGGATGGTACAACAGGATTGGAAAATAACTCAAGAGGCAACGCATAGAGATTATGTACACTTCAAAATTGCAACTGCGGTGACAAGCCTGTGTTGAGGACTGAGCTGAGGCACTGGGAAAATAACAGGTTGGTACAACAAGACTGGGAAGTAACTCAAGAGCCACACACAACTTGTGGAACTGATTGCTGGAGGGCGCGGTGCAGGCTAGGCACATGAGAGCGTGGAGCAGGCTTGGCACATGAGAGCGTGGTGCAGGCTAGGCACATCAGAGCGTGGAGCAGGCTTGGCACATGAGAGCGTGGAGCAGGCTAGGCACATGAGAGTGCGGTGCAGGCTTGGCACATGAGAGCATGGAGCAGGCTTGGCACATGCGAGCGCGGTGCAGGTTTGAAACATGAGAGCGCGGTGCAGGCTTGGCATATGAGAGCGTGGTGCAGGCTTGGCGCATGAGCGAATAGTGCAGGCCTGGCACATGAGAGTGCGGTGCAGGCTTGGGACATGAGAGCACGGTGCAGCATTAACTAGGCACATAAGGGATGGGTCTAGAGATCTTCTTACATATAAACGAGGCGATTACGGGGGACGTCGTCGAAGACGCAGTCTATGGGGCCACTGAGGGAATTGGATGAGAGATTTCTGTGCATTGTGTGTTGTGGGTTGGAAAATATGAAGAGATAAGAATAGTGAGCATTGCAGCCTAAGGGGGTGTGCTGAGTCGAGATTCCAACAGGTGTGGAGCCCTGTTGGGAGCACGGAGGAGAACGAGGCGCATTCACTGGAAGTAGGGAGGGTGGAGGGGGGCGGAGGGGGATGTGAGTAGCTGGAAGGAATTAAGCATGAGCGGAAATTCGAGCCGGGGGCTCGGCTGGTCCAATCGACGAGCCGAAGCTTTTCAGAATTCCAGCTTGTCGGCTCGGCACTGCACTTGCGTTCTTGGAATCCCGGCCCGACGACGCCCCTCCCGGCTCGTCAGATTCACTCAGCAAAATGTCCGTGCGAATACATTGCTACTCTAAAAAGGTGGACAGAACCTTTTTTTTCTTTCAAGTTTGCATCCCTCACGGCTAGGCATAAAAAAATGGCGAACACAAAATTCTTTGTGTTAGCCTTGTCTCAAAGACATATTCGGTGAACTAACATTTGTGTTCGCCCGAACACTTCCAGAAAGGGAGGTGTTCAGGTATTCGCGTGTTCGGCCAGAAAAGGTACTGATTGTGTTTATGAACATATTCTTTGGGCCACTACTTGTTGGGAGACACAACCTAAGTTTAAATCACAGACTATTACTATAGTGTAAACTCAACAACCTTGAAGTGCCTAACAACTACAGCTCCCATTCAAGCATGAGTAGGTTGTTCAGAAAGCTGAGATGTCAAAACGCCAAGTTGGGCCAGCCTGGCCCGCATCGTTGGTCTGGTTGTTGGACGCAAGACGCAAGTGACAAGGTTTTTTTTTTTTTTTTTTTTTTTTTTTTTTACTTGACCGTAACAAAGGCATTACAAATGGACGTAAGAAACGATACATAAAAATAGAGCTGGAATATTACAGTCAAAATGAAAATTAGCATCGGGTTGACCCTGGGCTATACATGAGCATCGGGTCAACCAAACCTCGCCCAAGGCAATTATGGGTCGAATCTGACCCAGTAACGTAAGCCCAGGTCGGGTCAGAGATCCTGGTAAGTTAACCCGGGTTGACACGACCCGACCCGACCCGGAACCCGGCTGGCACGCCCAGGTCGGGTCGGGTCGGGCCAGTTGACCATACCTAGTCGCAACAGACCAACCCTTGAGCAATGTCGACCAGCCCAATGTGAGAATCCAGCCCTCACCTCCTCATGAAATCGTTGTTGTTTATTGGACTTTGTCTTGTGGGTTGTGTAATGCTTCATACCAATCTAGTGCTCGAGTCGAACCAACAGCGATATGGTTCAACTAGGTAAAAATAACAGTTCATGGTGGTTCAAAGCGGCTCTGCTCTGCATTGATAGACAAATTGAATCAAATGGTTGGACCCAAACATGTACATGTTCAAGTCGAACTCTACTTGGGAGAATCAAAAGGAAGCTCGGTGCATAATTCAATCCTACCCGTGTTTGTGGGGTTGGGACGGAAGAAGTGAGGACATGAGAACAGCGGGCATGGGAGGAGAGGGACAGCAAGCACATGGTTGATGCAATAGGGGGATGATGAGACGAGCATGGTGGGAGGCAGGCACAAGTAAAAGCTGCATTGCTGAGTGCATACAGCCAAGTGAGCAAAGAAAGCTTGGAGATGCTGTTGGGAATGGGGCCCATCAAATTGTTGGTTGCAAGACCCCTGTGTGAGTGTGGTGTGGGATGGGGAGGAAGAAGTGAGGAGATGAGAATAGGGGGCATGGACTGAAGGCGGGCATGAGTAATAACCAGATCACAGTTCGGTTCATGTTCAACTCAAGTGGCCAAACCGGTTCATGTTTCAAAGTGCGTCGGATTGCGTTGAACCTGGGACTAGGCTAGGGATGAGCACGGGTCGAGCCCAAGTTGGCCCGGGTCGGGCCGGCACAGTGTGAGTGTCGGCCTGCGGCCCAGACAAATGTGACGAGCCGAGGATGGCCCGGGTGTGAAAATTAGGCATTAGCAACCGATCCGACCCGATTTGGCTGGGCCAAGCGGACCTCCGCCGTGGGTAGGGTCGGGTCAGGCCAGGCCGGACCATGGTTTAAAATCCCAGACCCGATTTGGGGATACAAGGCCGGATTTTACCTGACCCGACCTCGGGTCGGGTACAGGAAACCAGCTTTTGCCCGCGCTCTGTGCGGGTCGGCACTTTCGTTCGCCGATCCGCCGAGTCACTGAAATCCAATCAACACTAAGATAGTCAGGTCCGTCCGTCACATGTCAGCGCCAACCACATTACACAGGCAGGTCCGTCCAGGGATGGATCAGAAGGGTTATGTTATGTGGCTGACCACGATTCTAGTAAAACTCATGGCCACCCTAGCTCATGACGATCCCGCCAGGCTTAAGATGAGCCTCCCCAGCTCGTCACCTATTGGACGAGCCACGATCCGACCTAGCCATAGTCCCGCATCGTGACGAATCGGCCATTGGCGACCACTTTTAGACAGTGGTCGGGGCTGGCTCGTCACGAGCCGGGCACTGGCCGGCCATCGCTCATGTCTACCCGAAGGAGCCGACCCAGCCCGGCCAAATCAGGCAGGGCCAGGCTAGCCTGTGGCCCTAAACTTGCTCATCCCTAGCCATTCACTTTCCTAATACCCTATCCGTGTTTTCTGACTTGCGTGTGACATCTAGGTAATGTAACTTTGGGTATTAGAGTTTATGTGATCTTTGATCATGTCCGTGCTCATCACCAATTATACACGAGGTGCTTCATACAGTTGAGTAAGCAGATCAAGCTTGGAGATGCTGTCAGGAATGGGGCCCGTCAGATTGTTTCTTGCAAGAGACCTGTGTGTGTGGTGTGGGTTGGGGTGGAAGTGTCACAACTTAGGCTTAGAAGTGATACATTATTAATGAGCTTGAAGCTCTTTAAGTACATCCAAGAAGGGTAGGGAATGGATGGGGAAGGGAATCGGGGGCAATCCCTAGGGATTGGGGGTAATCTCAAGGCAATCTCCAATTGGTGGGTTGGAGATTGCTTGGAGATTACATTTGGGTTTGGTTGGGATGTAGGTGTACACCCAACCAAACACAAAGTGCAAACTACACTACTCTAGGATATAGAAAATATAAAGTACAAAGTGTGAGATTGAGGGCTAACACTAACACCCCCCTATAGGCGGCAATCGAACTCAGGGCAGAGAAGGTGGAGCACAGAGCCCCATGGCGCCAAGGAGACGATGGTGAGGAACTTTCCCAAGGGGCTTGGTGAACAGATCAGCCAGGTTGCAGTCAGATGCAACGTACTCCACGTTCAGCTGCTCCCGCTGGACAAGGTCACGGATGAAGAAATGCCGAAGTTCGATGTGCTTGGTGCGAGTGTGATACACAGGGTCTTGGGAGAGGTGGATAGTACTCTGGTTGTCACACCAAAGGGTGGGAGTGGACTGAGGGTAGCCAACCTCCTGGAGTAGGAAGGTGAGCCAACGGGCCTCTTGAGCAGCCATGGTGCCAGCGTAGAGCTCTGCCTCACAGGAGGAGAGGGAGACTGCTGACGACCTGGTGGAGCGCCAACTAACAATTTCGCTCCCAAGGGTGAAGCAGTACCCCTGAGAGGAGCGTCGGTCGGTCTGGTCATCGGCCCAAGAGGAGTCAGTGTAACCTTCTAGTCGAGGAGGGGAGAGCCCACCGAGTGTGAGAACGTGAGACTTGGTGCCCTGGAGATAACGCAGTACCCGCTTCGCCGCCTTCCAGTGAAGGTCAGTAAATTGCCCAGGGGCCACGTAGCGAGAGAGGACACTGACAGGATATGCCAGGTCCGGTCGGGTGCACATCATGGCGTACATGAGGGACCGAACAAGCTCCGGGTATGGCTCAGAGCAGGCCTCTGGTGTGGGTACAGCTGGGGTTGTGAGGAGGTGTTGCAGCGGCAGCGGGGTGGCAACAGGTGTGCACAGCTCCATCGCAAACCGCTTGAGCACATTGTTGATGTAGAACTCCTGGGAGAGTGAAATGGTGCGAGCCTTGCGATCACGTGTGATCTCCATCCCCAGGTAGTGCTTGAGGTCACCGAGGTCTTTCATCAAGAGGGCCTTGCTCAGAGCCGCCTGGACAGAGGTCATCTGGGCCGAGTCCTTGGCAACGAGGATGAATTCATCGACGTAGACAATGATGTAGAATGGCTCAGAATGACGGCGAATGAAGAGAGTCGGGTCCGCAGATGATGGGTGGAAGTCCAGGGAGAGAAGGACTTCTTTAACCTTGTTGTGCCATTCACGAGGGGCTTGCTTAAGGCCGTAGACGGGGCGATTCAGCTTCCAGACAGTGTTGGGAGGGAATTCTCCTGGGAAGCCTTCAGGTCTATCCATGAACACTCTCTCCTTGAGGCGTCCTTGTAGGAAAGCTGATGAGGTGTCCATGGATTTGATCTCAAAGTCTTCTCATGCTGCGACATCCATAAGCGTGCAAATAGTGGGAGGTTTGGATGTGGGGGAAAAGGTCTCGTAGAAGTCGTGGTACTGCTACTGGGTGAAACCCTTGGCTACGTAACGCGCTTTGAACACCGGGGCCTCATCTGGGAGTTGTTTCACACGAAACAACCACTTGCCCCCGACGATGTTGACTCCTGGAGGTGGAGTCTCGTCGTCGAAGGAGTGGTTGCGGGTGAATGCTTCAATCTCAGCTTCCATGGCAGCATGCCATTCGGCTGCATGGGGACCCGAGAGAGCCTCTTGGACGGTGAGAGGGATAGGGATGGTCGGGTTCTCCGTGAAGTTGAGTGAGGGTGATTCAGTGATGTCGGGGAAGATGTGCGAGAGCTGAGGAATGACAGCGTGAAGATCACACAGCTCCTCATGCCTGTCTTCCAGAAGGGTAGAGGGCACATCCCCCCCAGCAGGAGGAGACGGAGTGATCGCAGTGCATCAAAGAATCAGTGCCAGTGGAAGAGCAGCGCCATGCGAGCGAGTGCCATGAGCCACCGGAGAAGAGGGTGGGGCAGGCGGTGTCGGAGGGGTTGATTTAGGAGGCTTGGGTGGTGGAATGGGCCGCCGCTGGTACGTGATCAGCTCGGGCGACTGTGGGAGAGCGGGTTCCTCTGTGGTAGGGGGAACTGGGGGAGGATGTGGGGCCGGAGGGTGTGACCGCCGATGGTAAGTGATAGGTGCGCTCGGAGGTGGCAGCACAGTCGGCGGAGTGGGAGGTGAGGGGGATGGAGGAGCAGCTGCCGAAGACACCGGCGAGGTCGGGTCAGAGATCTCTGAGGGGGAAGGTGCGATGGCAGGAGAGGGAGGAGGTGAGGGGGCCGGCGCAGGTGGGAGGTCAGGGTGCGCATCAAAGTCCGCCCACACGAGAGAGGGTGGATCGGAAGGAGAATCCGGTCCCGATGGAGTAGAATGGGCGGAGTTCATCAAAGACAACGTCGCGGCTCCGGACTAACTGTTGAGTGGAGGGGTTGAGGAAGAGATAGTCAAGGGAGTCAGCGTTGTGCCCAAGGTAGATGCACGTTTGAGTCCTGGGACCGAGTTTGCCACCGCGCTGTCGCCTGGGCTGAGGGTAGGGATGAGCAAAGGGCGAACACGGACATGTTCGTGTTCGCCCCTTCTCGAACACGTCCTTTTGCCGAACCGAACAGTGTTCGGTTCGGCGAACAGTTTAGCCAAAAACAGGTGTTCGCTGTTCGCCTGTGGAGGCGTGTTCGGGCGAACCTCGAACACGTTCGTGTTCGACACGGGGCGTTTTGCAGCAGCGCCACGAACACGAACGTGTTCGGGCAAACATCGAACACGTTCGGGCGAACGATTTAAGCTGAAAAACAAAACCTGTTCGGTTCGCCTCGAACACGTTCGAGGCGAACCGAACAGGTGTTCGCCACCTTGCTCAAGCCTAGCTGAGGGTTGAGGAGGACATAGGCGGTGCACCCCCAGACGCGAAGAGAGCGAGCAGTGGGTGTTTTCCCGAGCCAAAGTGTGGTTGGAGTGGTGTCGGGAAGATGCGGGTGGGGGTAAAGATTATAGAGGAGGGCGGCATGGTAGAGGGCGTACCCCCAGAGAGAGATTGGAGCGTTGGAATGGCTGAGGAGGCACCGAGTGATCTGCACCAGGGTGTGGTTGCGGCTCTCTGCTATGCCGTTCTGCTGTGGGCTGTCAGGAAGGGTGAAGTTTTGCTGGATGCCTTCTGAGGAGCAGAATGCTTTGAGCTTGTCGTTGCAGAATTCACCCCCCCCATCCGAGTGAAGGCGCTTGACCTTGCGGTCAAAGGTGGTCTGTGCCTGCTTGACCCACGCCATGATGACCTCTGGGGCCTCAGCCTTGGTGTGGAGGAGGTGAACAGAGACATAGCGGGAGTGGTCATCCACTATGGCAAGGAAGTAGCGATGGCCACCTCGTGCGGGAACGGGGGCAGGGCCCCAGACGTCCATGTGCACGAGGTCCAGAGGTGCTGCTGCGATTGTGGGTGCGGCAGGATGGGGCTGTTGGCGCAGTTTGCTCTTGGTGCAATCAAGGCACGTGGGAGCGGGTGAGTCAGGTGGTGGAGGAAGTGCGGCTGGCAGGCCGAGAAGAAGTTTCTTGGAGGCCATGTCAGCAAGCGTGCGGAAGTTCGGGTGCCCGAGCCGATGGTGGTAAAGAATGGTCGGGTTGGAGAGGCTGCGACATGGGCATGGTGTGATAGGAGCCTGTGCTTGGGTGGTTGGGACCTGTGGGAGAGGTACGCGTAGCGTGTAGAGGCCGCTGCTATTGAGGGTGAAGCGGGCTAGGATTTTGTTGGTGAGAGGATCGATGATGTCGCAATGGTCCTCGTTCTCCGAGAAGACTGTGCGTAGTCCTGCATCCTGAATTTCTGTTTGAGCCACTAGATTGTGGCGTAGTGAAGGCACGCACATACCAGTGACAGTGCCAGATGGGAAGGCGGGGCACGGGACTGTGGACGTGCCTTTGGCAAGAATGGTGAAGCTTGAGTCAGCTCCCAAGAGAGGAATGGGTGTTGCGTAGGGTTTGAAGGAGAGTGTCTCCTTGAGCACAATGTGGGTGGCCCCGCTGTCGAGTGTGAACTCTATGTATTGTGGTGCTTGTGATGAGCCGATGTACTGGGAGGTAACTTCATTAATCATGGTAGTGCCAGGGAACAACAGGTTGATACGCACGTCAGCAGGAGCACTATCACTAGCACTAGCCGAAGCGGGGTCCTGGACCTCAACTAGGTTGGCGTTACGAGGGCACATCCAGTTTGGCGGTTTCTTGTCCACTCCGTGAATGGCATACCATTCGTCGTCCTTCTTCTTGAAGCACGTCGCAAGGGGGTGGGTAGTGCCACCACACACTTGTCCCTTGCGGTTGCCATACTTGACGACGTAGGTGCACGGAGGGAAGCAGTTGCGCTGGAAGGGCGCCGAGGCGAGGGCCGATGCGACACTTGCTTGCGGCATGGGAGCGCGGATGGCGTAAGCCTTGGCCTGAGCCGTGGAGTCTTTCTCGGCAGAGAGGAGTGCGGTGGAGACCTTAGCAAAGGTGAGGTCTTCCGCTGAGAGCGTGAGGAGCATCTTCCTCGTTACTTCATATGCCGAGGTGAGACCAACTAGAAGGGCGGCTGCAGGGGCTTGTTCGGGGAAGACTGTACCCAGCTTCTTTAGTTCGCCATGGATAGTTTGCACCTTGGCGATGTAGTCAGCCATTCCCGAGCAATCCTCAAGGCGGACCTGGAACATGCTAGGGATGAGGATGGCAACTCCGACCGCCGTTTTGTTCATGAACCGATCCTGGAGGTACTTCCAGATGCCGTTGGAGGTAGGGTAGTTGTGGAACGTGTTGACAAGTTCGGGAGGGGTGGAGGCAATGAAGACGCTGATGATAGCAGCATCGGCCTTCTCCCATTTCCGGTACTTTTCAACGGCTTCCTCGTATGCCCTCATGTCAGTATCACTAGCGGATTCGGTTGGTTCACGAGGGATTGGGGGCTGTTTTCCCTTGCCACGGTTGAAGAGGACGTCCTTGAGATCCAATCCTTGCACGTCACGACTCAAGAGGTGCTTGTCAAGCCCATAGCTCCATGCCTTGAAGTTGGAGCTAGAGCCATCGGCTTCAAGGCGGAGTGGGGTGATGGGGTTGGCCATGGTGGACGAGGCAAATGCCATGATGAAGAACCCTTAGTGTTTCGCGCGGAGCGCCGCTCTAAGTCACCGATAGGAACTTGAGGTTTGGGGTTTCCCTAGGAGATTTTGAAGAACCCAAGGTTTAGGGTTTACGAAAGAGAATTTTGAGGTTTAGGGTTTCTGAAGGAGAATTTGACGGAAACGCCAATTTAGTGTCAACTACCTGCTAATCCTATTCCCACACACCCCCCCACACACCACCCTTAGCTTCGCGGCTACGCTGCTGCTCGGCTTCGCGGCTACGCTGCTACTCGGCTGCGCTGCTGCACCTGTTCAGCTGCGGGAAGGGGGGATGGGGGTAGGAGTGCAGATGCGGAGCGACGGGCGGCAGCCCGAAGGTGACGCTGCAGGGCGACGGGCGGCGGCCCGACGAGAAGCTGCGGGGCGACGGACGGCGGCCCGACGAGAAGCTGCGGGGCGACGGGCGGCGGCCCGACGAGGAGAAGAAATGACGCGATGACGTTCGACGAAAGCGAGCGATAGGTTATAGCGCCGACGATGCGCTTACCAGAGAAATCGTAGATGTCGTCGAAAGTGACGGGAAGGTGGTGCGGAAGAATTTCCGCCCACGAATGTCGCGAATCACCGGCGACGAGATTGAAGGTGGTTACGCCGAGGTTTGCGGGACAAGCATCCGCAGAGATAAGAGGATCATGATCCGCGTGTGCGGTTAAAGCGCTCTGATACCATGTCACAACTTAGGCTTAGAAGTGATACATTAGTAATGAGCTTGAAGCTCTTTAAGTACATCCAAGAAGGGTAGGGAATGGATGGGGAAGGGAATCGGGGATAATCCCTAGGGATTGGGGGTAATCTCAAGGCAATCTCCAATTGGTGGGTTGTAGATTGCTTGGAGATTACATTTGGGTTTGGTTAAGATGTAGGTGTACACCCAACCAAACACAAAGTGCAAACTACACTACTCTAGGATATAGAAAATACAAAGTACAAAGTGTGAGATTGAGGGCTAACACTAACAGGAAGAAGTGAGGAGATGAGAAAAGTGGGCATGGACTGAGGGACAACAAGCACACACGGTCGAACAAATTTGGGGATGAGATGAGTTCTTTGAGAGGCATGCCTGAAAAGAATTTGAATTGCAGTTCGTTTTGAGGCAAACAGTTTGTGTCGACTCCAATTGGCCGAACTGGTTCGACGAGTTTGTGGTTCTCGTCGAACCTGGACCTGAGAGGGGGAGAGCCCGGAAGAGGAGTTGCAGGGTATCAAGCCTGTCTTGGCTGCCGATTGCGTGGCCATATACATTTGAATTACCCAAAACTCCTTGCTATGAGACGTTGAGACTTACTTGCTTGCATGTGACATCTAGGCTATGAGACTCTGGTCATGTTCGTGCTTATCACCAGGCTTGAACGAGGTGCTTCATACAGATAAGCGAGCAGAGAAAGGTTGGAGATGTTGTTGGGAATGGAGCCCGTCAAGCTGTTGTTTGCAAGAGACCTGTGTGTGCGTCGTGTGGGTAGGGGCAGAAGTGAGGAGGCATAGGGAGCATGGAATGAGAATAGTGGGCATGGACGGAGGAGATGAGAATAGGGGGCATGGATGAAGGGACAGCAAGCACACAGTTGTTGACCCGACTGGGGGATGAGTCGAGCATGGAGTGAGGCATGCATGAGTGAAAGTTGAATTGCAGTTCGGTTTGAGGCGACCGAGTTCATGTTAGGTTCAGTTGGCCAAACCCAGTTTGACAAGTTTGCGGTTCTCATCAATTCTGGGCTTTGGAGGGTAGGGGCCGGCAAGAGGAGTTGCGGGGTATTCAGCCTGGCTTAGCTGCCAATCACGTTGCCATATACTTTTTATTTCCCAGAAGTCCTTGTTTTCTTGCTTGCGTGTGACATATAACTTATGCGGCTATGGATTTCTTCTCAGGGTTTTAGAGTTCATGTGATCTGTGTTCATGCATGTGTTGGAAGGAAGAACTCCATCTCTTAGTACAGGTACGAAGCACATGTCTCCGGCCTCCAGCCTGCCCTCTCTTGTCCCACCCTCTGTACTGATGAATCTCTCTTTTTCTACACCGTCCTCTCCTCATGTGGTCCTCTGTCCTAAACTGAACATGGCTTAGGTTCAATCGCGCCTTCACCACAGCCAAGTCTTTTTCTTTGTACTCTCACCTACTAACGTATCTTTTTCACCCTTTTGCCATCCATGGCCCCTAAGCGCTTCATCTTAACATGGTAATCAAAGCCAACTCCGAGGCATGTTCTATATATCATCACCTACATCTCCTATGCGTGTAGCAAGGCCGGTCGCACGTCGGTCCTTAGCCAGTCGCTCGCCTCCTCTTTCTACTCTCCCGTCCTTCCTACCTACCCGCGGGCCCTTCCTACGCGGTCGTGGGTCCTTCCTATCCTTATTTCTTCTCCCTTTGTCTGACCGGCAGCATACGTTTCAACATTTGCGAAAACAAATTGGGTGGAGGACAATTTTCAACATATCTGGCGATGTTTTCCGGTGACTCCAAATTCCATTCGATAGATCTGGTGATTTCGTTTAGTTTCGACAGATCTCTCATATTTCTTCATCAGCCCGAGTATGTTCTAGACAACATACAAAATCACATATTAAAACACAATCGTACATTAAGTTTCTGCTCAAAGGGAATGTTGACTCACTTCTGACTCCAGGGTCTCCTGACTTGCCACGAGTCAGACCCGACTCGCGCTGTTCTTCCGAGCCACGAGTCGGGCTGAGTCGATTTTCGACTCGACCCTGATTCTTCTCGGGTCAGGACTGACTCGACTCGACTCGAGCACATGCTCATGACTATCTAGAGTTTAAGGTAGTTTAGAATTTAGGATTTTGTTGCTAATATAAGAGTTTCAGGAAGATTTGTGTATATTGTGGTTATACGGTACAGCCTTCGCAACATATTTTGCATGAGATTCTTACAGAAAATCTAGTCTTCTCAGAAATGCGATGCTATCAGGAATTGAGCCATCCAATGCGTTCCTTCTTAAAGATCTGTGTGGAGTGGGGTGAGTCATAGGTGTGAGAACTTAGGCTTAGAAGCGACGCATTAGTAATGAGCTTGAAGCTCTTTAAGTACATCCAAGAAGGGGAGGGAATGGATGGGGAAGGGAATCGGGGGCAATCCCTAGGGATTGGGGGTAATCCCAAGGCAATCTCCAATTGGTGGGTTGGAGATTGCTTGGAGATTACATTTGGGTTTGGTTGGGATGTAGGTGTACACCCAACCAAACACAATGTGCAAACTGCACTACTCTAGGATATAGAAAATACAAAGTACAAAGTGTGAGATTGAAGGCTAACACTAACAATAGGGAGTGAAGAGATGAGAAAAGTGGGCATGGCTGGAGAGAGGTCAACCACAAACTCACGACACAATGGGAGATGGGACGAGCATGGTGGGATTGTTCGATTTGGTGGAGTGAGGTAAACGACCTGCATTGGGACGCAAACTGCAACTTAACGCAGCGCTAGCTGGTAGACATGATCAGTTCAGAAAAACAAACTCCGGTTCAGTTCAATCGAACCAGTTCAAGTATGCTCGCCCAACGTTTTCTTTTTTTAAGAAAGCATTCGACTCGCATGTCTACTGGTTCGGGTGGAACCGGTTCGGTTGTTCAAGTAGGGGGGGTGCCAAACCAAGTCGATCCGAACCTGAAATCTCTTATCTGCCTTTTAGTCGATCTGAACCAATGGTAGTTCGAGTTGAATCTATGAAGGATCGATTACACAGGTCAAAACTTGAACTTAGGCCCGACGACCCATGTCTGTTTGACCTGAACCGAACTGAACCGGTCCGTTCAACCTGGTGGCCGCTTCCGGTTCCACCTGAACCGGTTCGAGTTCGGGTTTTGCTCATGTCTACCAGCTGATGGCAGGAGCGGGGGAAGGTGGGGCTATGTACTGTAAAAAAAGAGGAGGAAGGATACCGACGAGGATGGTGGCTGGCTGGAGGGTGCTACAGGGGACAAGGGAGAGGTGGGGAGGGGAATGCAGATGTGTGCAGATGTGTTCCGACGGCTAGGGATGAGCAAAAAAACGAACACCTGGTCGGTTCGCCTCGAACGTGTTTTTTTTGCTTAAAGTGTTCGCCAAACAGTGTTCGAGGTTCGTCCGAACACGTTCGTGTTCGGGCCGCTGCTGCAATTTGCCCCGCGACGAACACGAACGAGTTCGAGGTTCGCCCGAACGCGCCTTCACGGGCGAACGGCGAACACCTGTTTTTTGCTTAAAGTGTTCGCCGAACCGAACAGTGTTCGTCGAACCGAACAGTGTTCGGTTCGGGAAACGGATGTGTTCGTGTAGGGGCGAACACGAACATGTTCGTGTTTGCCCCTTGCTCATCCCTAGCGAGGGCAGAAGTTCAGAATGAGCCAATATATTGCTAGAAACGTCGAGGGCAGTGCTCTAGCTTGAAAACATGAAATCTCGGTGGAATTTGTTCAGAATGCACACGTATGTCCAAGATTCACCATATGACAGGGGGTTGAGCAACAACTCGACCCTACTCGGACCCGAACAAGCCCGGTCTGCTTGACCCAAGGTGGGTACCAGTCGGGTCGGATACGAATCGGGTCGGGCCGGTACCCCAGGGGAGCCGACCCGGCCCGGGCTTATAGGGTCGGGTCAGCTGTGACCCTAGGGTGGGTCGGGTCGACCCGAAGTTGGTTCGGGTCGAACCACCCACCAATAAAACTACTGTCTGTGTGGATCGAGGGATTTTCCCTGTCGATCTGCGTGGATCAGCGTTTTCTCACCCACCTCACCATCCTGAAGCTCAGGTCAGCCATTTGTGATCACCAAGCCAGCGTCGATGGGTTGGGGGGGGGAGGAAATGCCCTATCACCGCTTTTCCCTCAAAAACACATGAAGGGCAGTGGAAGGTGGAATATGCAGAATTTTTGTTTGCTTGCTCTGTAAAGCAATGGCAAAGGCAAAGGCTTCAAGAACAATCTCACAACAAAAACAGCTCTATCCTAGCAACCAGCCAACTCGAAGCAGCTTACAGATAGGTCAGATTGGTGAGCTTTCCAATTGCAGCTGGAATAGATCCGGTGAGCTGATTCTCCGTCACATTTCTGGCCACAAGGGATGGAGAAGGACGTGAATACTGCCCAGCTCATTGACAACTCATCTCCACGGAGATTGGGCATGATCACTGCTTTGTAGCATTTCGCTAATGTGCCTCATAATATCAAGAGAAAACTGAACAAGTGTTTAGCCCCACACAACAGGAAGTTCGGGAGTGGCAAATTCATGACCATGCATGCATATTGTAGTGGTTGGAAGGTGTGAGCACATAGGTTAGAGATGTTGATGCTACAGTGTTCAACTGGTCTGAGGGCTGATGCATGCAGGCTCTGAAACTTGGGCGAAAAGAGCAAAAAGGACACAGCGATTACGGGTGGAGACAGCTTAGTGCACTGAACAGTTCTCATACAGATGCAACACACTCCTCTCCCTGGAAATCCACAATTGCGACACCAGCATATCTCACACTCCTTACAGGTACTCCAATGAAACGAGGCTTGAAATTCCTGCCGGAATCGACCCTTGGAGCTCACAACGGGACATGACTCTGGGGACGGGTTTGTATAAAACAGTAGAGAAGGCGATGATAATGCCCTGGGCACGGAGTAATCCGGCAAGGGGAGTGCTTTCTGTTAATGATTATAAGGAGCTAATAAAGGCGTATAAATGGAGCACATACTACTTTGAAGTTGGATGAAGGCGAGAGTACAAGGGCAAACAAAAAGAGAGGGCATTCTTATGGGAGAGGAAATCAAACGTGCACAGGAGAAAAGTATTGGCGCCATCACACGTGGTTGCATACCAATGACCTTTCGTTGGATGCAACAACCAACATTTATATGTGTTTGTCGCGTTGCATTTCTGTTGTTGTCGTTTACTGAATTGGCCATTTACCTCCCTCTAGCTGTATAGCTATAGGCTTCTTTCATGAGCTACCTAACTCCGCTGGGAACCTACTAATGCACGAAAGATTGGGCACAAAAAAACGAGCTCATCATTCTCCTGTGAGGTTCTTACAGTGTACTCAGTGAAGTGAGAGACGAGATGCTGTCAGGAATAGACCCATTAAGAGTTGTATCCGACAAACATCTATGTGGGGTGGGTGGGTGGGTGGGTTGAAAGAAGGGAGGAGTAAAGGAAACTGGATGGAGACCGACTGTAACGCCTGTGGGGCTTACACGGTTTGAGTGCCTCCGCTGTGCGTCAGATACAACCCTCGTTCTGACCCAGTGGGTAGCGAGGCGGTTTACCAACTGACACGACAACAGGGAGTGATTGGCGCAAATCCTGCTGCAGGCAGCAGGCATCAATCAAAAGCAAGTCTGCAGACACAAGCAGACTGTGTGAGGTCCACCACAAAAAATAATTGCACACTTACATCGAGGTAATCATGCCTGAAGCGTCATAGGTGAACCCCGTAATCGCGTCGCAGGTAGCACCCATGGGCCAGACTGGGAACGTCTTTCCCCATGCCTTCTGGCAGTCCTCGAGAAACACCGCTGACAGTTGGGGGATAGGAGATGAGAAGAGAACGAGGAACAAGGTTATGGACGTACATGCAACCTGCGCTATGTCGGGGGGGATCAGCTTGCAAGGAACGATGCTGCTACCCGTGCCTGCTATGGATACCGAGGAACGCTGCTGCTACCCGTGCCTGCTATGGATACCGAGGAACGCTGCTGCTACCCGTGCCTGCTATGGATACCGAGGAACGCTGCTGCTACCCGTGCCTGCTATGGATACCGAGGAACGCTGCTGCTACCCGTGCCTGCTATGGATACCGAGGAACGCTGCTGCTACCCGTGCCTGCTATGGATACCGAGGAACGCTGCTGCTACCCGTGCCTGCTATGGATACCGAGGAACGCTGCTGCTACCCGTGCCTGCTATGGATACCGAGGAACGCTGCTGCTACCCGTGCCTGCTATGGATACCGAGGAGCGCTGCTGCTACCCGTGCCTGCTATGGATACCGAGGAACGCTGCTGCTACTCGTGCCTGCTATGGATACCGAGGAACGCTGCTGCTACCCGTGCCTGCTATGGATACCGAGGAACCCTGCTGCTACCCGTTCCTGCTATGGATACCGAGGAACCCTGCTGCTACCCGTGCCTGCTATGGATACCGAGGAACCCTGCTGCTACCCGTGCCTGCTATGGATACCGAGGAACGCTCTTGTGATGAGTCCCTCCCAACCTGCTCAACGACCGACTCCAGAACTCGCTCACAATAAAATAAAATAATAGTAAATAAATAAATAACAAACAAACAAAGAAATGCACACTCTGCTCAATCCATCTCTGGGGAACACGCTTTGAGCATTACCATGAGCATTGCCGGCGAGGAATGGGCGGGATTGTTTAGGGTTAGATTGCAGATACATCGGAAGCACTGACTAGGGGTTTCATCGTCGACTGTTCGATTCCTGGCGAACCATGTACAAGGGTCACCGGAAATGGGGACAGTGGCAGTGTCTCTACAACCCTTCCTCCCGAAATTCGGAATAAAAACCTAACCTTAAGAACAAACGTATTGCTACTAGTCAACATTCGCATGAACACGTGGCGCTCGTGCCGTCACGTAACTGGCTATTAGTCCAACTGGCAGTTGCAATTGGCAGTGCAAACCGCGGACTGATTGTTTTTACGAGAGGAACGAGGTACGAGGGATGGAGAAGCGGCGCTGGTCGCTATTAGCATTGTGCGAGGAGAGAGGGAGGCACCTTGAGTAGCGTTGATCACTGGTTGCGCGGCATGGCAAGAGACTAATGCAGCAAGCCAAAGCGCGGCGGAGAGTGCAAGCCATGCTCGCGGCTGCATCATCGCAGTTGGTTTTGGCGGTAGCATTTGCGGCGTTGGCGGGGTCTGGATTGTTCTTCTTTTCCCTTAAAATAGCAGCGGTAAACGTGACAGGTTATCTACCAAAGAGGTGGAGAAACAGGACTGACTTGTAGCTGCCGCTGGGAGATTGCCTACGGCAGCCTGACGAGGGCCCACGGAAGAAGGGTTGCCATGTGCTTGTGCCTCTGGGATTTCTCCGAGGACGATCACAAAAATGTGTGCGTCTGGAAATCATCTGACCATTTTTTTTTAAGCAAGTTTTCAAAAATCGTTTGACAATCATCCTGGAATCATCTATATATCATTTGTATATCATTTTTGTTGGACCAAATGCTTTGCTGATGTTTTAGTAATGGTTTTGCAATGTTTTCAATGGAATGTTTGTCAGATGTTAATTGTTGAAACAATAATAAGGTTGAAAAAAGTGTGTTTTATAATCCAACTAGGTTATGGTTTATCGACGTAGATGCAATTTAATATACATCACCAGATGAACCTATTGAGCATGTTCACATCAGAGTCTCTGCAGCACGGGACAACATGCACTGCAAAAAAATGAATTATGCTACCAAAAACAAGCTCAAGGGAGGACAAGTCCAATTTCAGAAACGGTAAGAGATTTGAACCCGGGTCCATCCACATGAGAGCCGAATATCGTAACTCACTGCACTACAACGACTGCTTCGAAGAAATATTTCAATTGTACAGTACGAGGTCAACGCGCATTTGCCAGCCCCCAATTACACTTTCCCAACCAACCCCAACCAGGCCAGAAATCTCTCCAACCAACCAAATTCGCCTCATTCAATCCAGCTCAGCATACCACTTTGTTCAACCAATCAAAGCCGGCATTGCATCCACCTCAACAAAATCCAGCCCAACCACCACCACTTGTGCCAACTAACCAACCCCATCCACACCACCTCCATGCACTCTACCCGTTACGCTTGCACAGAAAAGGTGAAGTGGGGTCTCATTTTGTTATTCTAGAGTGGCTGTGACTGATTTTAATTTAGTTCTTCCTTAGCACGTTTTCCAATCTCGTTATCTCAACCGCCGCCATAGTCTCAACCGTTGCCATTGTCTCAACCGTCGCCGTAGTTTCAACTGTCGCCATAGTCTCAACCGTCCCAGTAGCTCGTTATTTTCTGCAATTGCCACGAGTGCGCCTAATTGGCTGTGTGTCTCTCCCCTCGTGCACTCCGTTACCTTTGTGTAGGTGTGTGCTCTGTGGTACGTGTGCTTTCCTCGTTTAAATTCCTCTTGATCAACATATGCAGGTCGAAGCCCAGGTCGCGCTGTTTTCTGATTAAGGTCACGTTAGATCCTTCTCTGTATTAGCGGGAATTGTTATCTAACGAATGTCGTTGGCTGTGTTTCTACTATCATGCAGTCCGTTTACTTAGTGAGGTCTTGTGCTCCGCGGTGCATATCTCTCTCCGCGTTTTAATTCTTTGTTATCCCCGTGTGCAGGTCGCGCGGTTTCCTTCAAGAAAGCGCTAGTTCCTACTCTTGCGCTTATCCGAACTGCTAGCTAATGAAACGCTTTCGTTTTTGTTCGTTTATTTCGCTGGCAGGCGGTTTTATATTTCCTAATAATCTCCGGTTTCAACCACTCCTTTTTCTGGTAAACATTCAATTTACATGTCACTGGTTTAAATTTCATGGCTAACTCTTATGGTGAACTGCAAGGGTTGCTTGGTGATTTGCAGTAGGTGCTGTCTTCGGCCAAGACCATGCCCAAATCATGTATAAGGCGTAGATCACCCCCGGCAATAGGCGAGAGTAGTTCTATTTCTTTTTATCTGCCATTGTGTTATGGATATATTTTACATAATGTTGGCGTTTCTACTAATGGAAAATCTGAACCCAATCACACAAGAATCATAAATTGTTAAAATTAATAACGTTTGTGGAAAGTCCAATTATAAACAGTATGAATTCAACATACAAACTCACTAAAGAGTAAAATGCAATGAGATCTAATCTCCAAAATCACTTCGGGAAAACTCGTATTAAACTTCAGTCGAAGGTATTCAAGATGCAGCTTTGAACAGAGAAGCATTGCAGAAGCATTTGAAAAGCATTCGACAAAGCGTTTGGAAAGCGTACTATACTTTCTCAAAAAAGCGTTCGAAACAATACGTTTATAAATCATTCGACAAAGCTCCAGAGCAACTCTTTTCATCGGCTTTCTGGACGCAGGATTTTTGTGAGCCCAGGCTGGGAGCAGCTCTTTCAGAGGGACTCCGTTCAGAAGGGGCGGTGCACGCACGAATCCTGACACGAGTTTGCGTCAATCATCGTCCGAACCTCAAACTCCAGACCGAGCGTGCGTTGTACAGTCGAACTCCTCTGAACGACGGGCGAACCCATCTGTGCTTCTTGCGAGCGAATTCTAGTTACGAGACCCGTGCTGCATACTACGAAGCAGAGAGTTTGCTTCGGAAGCCGTTCCAGCGCTCTTCGACCGTTGCATGGGGGGAATTTGGTTGTTGGCGGTGTGAGTGGCACGTCCCGTGCGGCTTTTTTTGGGCAGATCTGTCCGTATTCCTGAAGGGTATCGTCTTGATAGTGATGCCATGACGTCGCACTGCTTAGTAACAGACGCGCGGTGAGATCTCATTTGTACCCTAAGAGATGGGAAAAAAAGGCTCTCGGGGAATTCTTTCTGGAATTCCTGGCGATCGAAACCACTTTGAAGAAGCGCCAGCCAGCCGGCTGAGCCATCCTATCCGCCCTCCACCGCATTTCTTCTTGGCAGCTCCACTCTGGGGGGATGTCAGAACATTATATAGCTTATGCTGTTGTGTAGGCTATAGTGGGGTATCCCATAGGGGGTACAACCCAATTAGGGTTTCCTATATGTACTCACTTCATTCATAGTTCATTAATTCGCGTTCTCCTTTCCACATGGAATCAGAGCAGGTCCCCTCCTAAGGACTGTTTCTAGGGCCCACCGAAGCGCGCCCCGAGGCGCGCTTTCCTTTTTTTTTAGCGACCCTCCGTGTCGCCCCTAGCGGCCCGTTGCGCCGCCCTTACCTACGCGAGCCCGCCGCCCTTACGTCGCGACCCAGCCGCCCTCACGTCGCGGCCCCGCCGCCCTCACCTACGCGGCCCCGCCGCCCTTAAGTCGCGGCCCTGCCGCCCTCACCTTCGCGGCCCCGCCGCCCTCACGTCGCGGCCCCGCCGCCCTCACTTTGCGGCCCCGCCGCCCTCACCTACGCGGCCCCGCCGCCCCACTTCGCGGCCCCGCCGCCTACGGTACCGGCCCCGCCGCCTATCCTCACCGGCCCCGCCGCCTACGACCGCCGAGCCGCCCTGCCGCCGAGCCGCCCAGCAGCCGAGCCGCCCGGGAGCCGAGCCGCCCTGCCGCCGAGCCGCCCTGCCGCCGAGCCGCCCGGGAGCCGAGCCGCCCAGCAGCCGAGCCGCCGAGCCGCCCAGCCGCCGGGCCGCCCTACTGCCGAGCCGCCCGACCTGCCCTGCCTGGTGAGCACAGCACCACTGTTACTGCGTGCCCTTCCCCTACTGCTTGCACTACTACACTGTCGTCGTCATGGCTACCCCTAGTGTCCTCGCTTTTGACGCTGAGGGTCGAGCCATTGACTTTGAGGTCTGGGTCGACGACCTGCAGCTGTTCTTACAGTGCGATAGGGCGGAC